AGGGGGTGGGTGGGACTCTGCCTGCGATGAGGGACACGCAGGGGAAGGGGAGCAGGGAGGGACAGAGCAGGCAGACACAAAAGGGTATAAAGGGGGCTGCTCACGTGTAAAACAGGGCCAGTCAGCACGCTTGTCTGGCTGAGCCCTGTGCCTGATCACTGCAATCTGTCCTGTCTTCTTGTATCTTCTCGTTAAATCTTTTATTAACTATCTCTCTCCATGATCACACTCTCTATCCCACGTGTACATGTGCTGCAAGGACTGAGTGCCGGCTACTGGTGAGATCTGTGTGGGTATGAGTGAAAAAATGGGTGAGCTACTGGCACAAGTGGGGTCTCAGCATCAGCTACTGGAGCAGGTGGGGGTCTTTAACCCCTAGCCACTGGGGTGGGAACGGCGTGTGGGACTGGCTGTGTCAGTGTCCTGTGTGTGTCCATGTCCATGTGTGTGTCTCTGGGACACGTGCGCAGCTTCGCCACTGGTTGAACCTGCAAAGGGGAAAGAGGCAGCCACATCACTGTTCCCGGTTCCCTGGGGCAGGCTCCAGTGTCTGGGCAGCAAGGTCCTGGGCCAGGGTTGCCAGAGGAGGCAGCCACACTTTTAACATCCCTTAACAATATGGTAACAGCCATAAAATATCCCACCACGTTCCTGTCACTCTGCCGAGGTCATATGCACCCAAGGGGACCAACATGCTGCCAGGTAGCTGGCTCCTAGACTATACCATCTGTTTTGCAGTGTATTTTCATCCTCTAGTACTTGTAGTATGGCACGTCATATGACAGGTCTGTGCTATTAAATTAAGTCACTTTATTGCAGTGACAGAGGCAGCATGACTGTTCCCTGGGTACCATCAGCCTAAATCCCTAATCTCTCCTATTGGTGTTGGCGACTCATTGTACAGTAGACCCACATCCGCAACTCAAATGGCTTCCTTTGTTCCAAAATGAAAAATTCCAAAGGCAGCTGGGCTCTACCCCACACGGGTAACTCCAGTCACGCGACTGCCACAGACTGGAGCCTGGTCAGTGACTCTGCAGGAAGCAGCAGCCCCCAGGATCACAGGAAGGAAGGTGCCTGATTTGCACTACAAAAAGTCCATTTCCTTCCTGTTTTTGTCCGGTCAGTTCTCCCCCAGGAATCCCCTGTCCTCTGCAGGAGCATGGAGGAAGAGCAAGTCACTCAGGCCAACCCAAATCCCACCTGGCCCCCATACACAAGTATTTCATGCATTTGATTTCTTCCTTCTATGCACAGCACTTCATAATCCATTGACTTTTGCATTGCTCAGGTCAGTCAGCCCTTCTCCTATCAGCTTCACTTTGGACATGGACCCTGTTCTCTAGTTTATTTTTAAGGGTGCTTCTAAGTCGATGTGATGAAACTGATGAAAAACTTGAGAAGCAGCAGAACCACAAAGGACACGTGCAAGAGTCTTACTCAGAAAGTTTTTCCAGTTTAGGAGGGACCCTCACACTTTGCACGCAGCTTTACCTCCACCTCCTTTAAGAGGTCTTCTTAGTTTACTTATAAAAGAACATTACAAAGGAAGGGACAGTATCAAAAGCTATATATAATAAAGCAAACCTGCCTCATCTGTTAACTACTAGGTCAAAGCATTTGAATGGTTTCATAATTTGTGGTTAGCAAATCACATGTTCATGCCACAAATGTCAAACATACCAGAACAAACATTAGGAAAATTATCACTTGGAAGTTAGGGCAAGAACTTGCTCAAAACAGATCAGTTTCTGAAGCTAAAGAGCATCTTTTCTTCGAAACAGTGGTAAAATACTTTAAAAGAAGAATTAATTCAAAAGTCTGTCTTCTAGGAAATGAAATCACAGCTTCATCTACTTGGTCATTCTTTAATTTCTCCCCTTTTGGACCTTTGAAATGGCATGCTGGTTTGGGAAGAAACATTAACTGTCATGTCTTGGCCACAGGTCAAACTTTTCATAAAGAGCGAGAAGGAAGAGCAGCCTCCTATGGCTGCAAGCGTCCTATTTTCGTGCATTTGATTTTGCACTTTCTTGCATTTTCTTTTCCTACGAGTTGCTGCTAAACAGGCTAACAAAGCTCAGCCAACCACCGAGACTGAACGGCATTGGCACTTTTTGCCCCCGCACACTGATAAAGTTGTCACAGTGAAACAAGAAGGTGTACTCCTATCCTGGTCTTTTTTTTCTAGAAGTGCTGTACCCCGTCCTTATTAAGGCTTATCGTCAGTAGTGAGTATATGCAAGTGCCCAATGAGGGTTAAGTTTCTTTTCACTTAACACTGACCCGTTTACAAAAGAGAATCCGAGAGGATTTTGTATTATATCATGCGCGTGACTTCACATCCTCCAACAAACTTCTCAAAATGCTTCTTCTGAAACCTTTTTCAGGTCATGATGCCAGTGCACCACATCCAAACTCACTGGAGAGAGCTGAACAAGGATGACCACAGTCAGGAGACAACTGAGACAATTCTACTCCGTGTTTCTGTGAGATCTTTGCACAATCTTACTCGCTGGCCATTAGATGACTAAATGCAAAGCCGAAGAACAATGCCTTGCAGATACACCATCAACAGTCGCATTTGAGACAAACACGGGAATCAGCACAATCTTTTCCAAGTACTAGGAGCATCAATTCACAAATAGTTTGTGTGTCACATTCTGCTTTGCTGCAGTTTTCACTTAAGATAAGGACATGACTCCACGATAGAGTAACTTTTCCACCAATCTCACACCCTTGAACCCCAGCTGAGTAAAAGAACCATGTTGACATGTTGCAAGTTAACACCATAATTTTTAACTGTAAGATTTGTTGGGAGATTAACCTTGAAAGGCAACATCTACAGGAAACTACACATCTGTACATTTTCTTCAAACTAAAAAGTGAAAATATTTTATCAATGAGATCTTTGGAAGCCACTGCTTCCCTTTTTTCTAGAAGAGTGCTGCATGGTTTAGTTTTGCACATAGTCTGCTGATAAAGATGCTTGCAGGGGAGGCGAGTACCTGTATGCGAGCCTGAAGACTTCTTTGACTAACAAGATGTTAAGGAACAAATACCATGATTACAAATGGTACATGACCCCCTAAACTCCCTGATGGGACTCAATGACCTTCTCTCCTTATTCACAGGTTGTTTAGCAGCCATTAGGTGGTTTTAGAGGTATCGGGAATTTACCCAGGCAACAAAGAGTAATTTTGAACATGGGAAGGGATTTTTCTCTCAGTCCTCTGCAATTTCATAATGGTAAAGCTTTATAGTAAGTCAAACCATCATCTTTGGTTTTACAGGGAAGTAACATATGAAGAAGGGAAAGGAGCACTAGCAATCCATTCCTCATTTGCAAGGTTGAGTCCTTTTCCTTCTCAGACTAGGAATTTGCATCTAAAAGCCAATTAAGAGCAATTCCCATTTTTTGACCACTTGCAACAATGGTTTTTCAAGAACGACAACTGGCTGCTCAGAAACGCTCCAAGTCGGGCCATAGGTGACAAGCATTTCACACTGTGAAAGGGCGTCTGAGGCTGCTTTCCCCATCCTAACAGAAGAAAGAAGGAGGCTTAAAAAACTTTTTACGCGGTTCACTGGTTAACAACGTAAACCGTTTTCTTACATAAAGAATGCTTCCTTTTTGCTTTTCTTGGAAGAAAAACTCTGACATTCTTTTTCCTTCCTAAGCGAGTTATAAAACTTCTCCATGTTACAGTAGTTCATATGCTCCTGAAACGGGGTTTGAAATTCAAGAATGGCAGCTGAACTCAGTCTCAGTCCTTGGGCTTGTGGCATTTGGGCATGACTCATCCATCGCACCTCCTGAAAAGCTGACTACAGAACCTCTTTGATCAAGCTGGATGCCTACAGGGCCAGATCCCGTGTTACCATGGCGAAGGACAGCAGACGACCACATGAGCACTTCTGGACTAGATTCTCCACTCTTTACCTCAGGAGAAATTCCATTCAGCAGCAAAGATAAAAGAGGTTGCTTAAGGTTTTTGGGTTTTGTATCTTTTTTAAGACTCAAAGACGACTCGGCTTTTTTCCATCAGCAGACAGAGAAAATCTGGAGGACAGGCACAGGCCTGACTTCTGGAGTCTCCAGCGAGGCAGAGGATCGGGACAGGAGCATTTATCGCAAGAGATCTTCAGCATGAAATAGAGGCCTCTAAAGCTCACAGATTTCAAAACTCTGACATCGTAACAACAAATAGGTAGTTTCACCACTGTTTTGAAATATCAGTATTTTGAAATGTCAGTATCTCGGAAAAACTGATTTCATGACCACAGTTAATATTTAAATTTGCAGAAGTTGGACTAGAAGTCAAATGCAGACACTAAAAAAATGAATCAACTCTGAATTGTTAAATATTCACATATACCTACCCTAATAATTAGCAAAGAAATGGTATGACATCACCTTCTACTGGATTTTGAAGTAAAATATTAGTGCTCTGGCACAACAAAATCTGATTTTCCTACTTTGAAAAACTAGTGCATACATTGTGTAGTAAACACGTAATGCCTGCCTGAATGCCACTTGATTTCAATGAGTTATTCAAACAGGCTACTCTGGATGCACAATGTTTCGTGATCAAGCCTTGTAAAATGGTCTAATTTTCTCAGAGACAGTATGTTATACGACTGTCGTCACACTCTTCTACTCACGTTCAGGCACTTGAAGACACGTGTCCCTTACACTTCCTCAAAAGCAAGTTTTTTCCCAGGTGTCCAAGAACAAATTTACCATTACTGACAACAGTAGCATTAGGAACAACTGCATAAACAAAGTGTACCTAATCGCTACCAGCAACGTGGCGTGCAGACTTGCTCTGAGTTTACTATAGCTCATGTTCTGCCTATGGCAATGCACCTACTATAGCTACATATTGGTGGAGCAGCACCAGCAACGTTTGGTCAACAGCTGTAAGTTGCAGAAACATTTCTTAGCAGAGCGGTTCATCCCACGTAACAGCTGCACTACCATTGAAAACCACATACTATTTTTTTCTGTGGCAGAACTTTTATTCGGAGGGAAATTATAACTTTTGCATTTACATGGCACAAATTATATACAGTACACTTTCCATGATAAGAATTATGATGCTGTTCACAGAAAGGTATCAAATTTGAGATAAATAATGCATAAGCTAAAATATACAAACCAGGGGTGGAGGTGAAACTATTGGCCATTTTTATTATCTATAGAAGAATTTCAAGGAATAATGTTAATTCAATGTTCAAAAATTTTTAACAAACTTCTAGTAAAGTTAATTGAAATATTTATAATACTATTCAGTTGTTGCACAGTATTTCCAATATACAATCAAGAAGATGCACAGAACACAACACTTAATATGAAAAAAAACCTATTGCACCCACAATTTGAAGGCTTCAGTGCCTTTTGGATGCTGCACTACCATCTTTATATAAACATTTACAACACTTCAGTAAACACAAAGGTTCTAAATGTAGTGCAGCATTATGGGGGGCCACTTTCAGCTCTTAAAATAAATGTTAAATGCCCACATACTGTGCCATTTATTCTAAGCTGATGGTTTAGGTTGTAACCCTTAATTCCTACTGTGAGTAGCAAACACACTTCCCCCATGTTCCGAAGATTACCATCCCTCTGACTACGCACTCTATATTCTGAGACCTAAACTGTCCTTGGCTTCATTGTCATTTTGGCGTTTTGCCTCAGTGCTTGCGACAACTACCCCTTATATTATTTTTTTAATGTCCTGTTAAGTAGTCCTGCGTAGAATCTGAAGCAAAAGAATCTGCATCTTCATTATCAGAATCATCACTACTGTCATCCGCCGCTGGCTCTCCTGTCAGCGCTATCCGGGCATAATCATCAGTGTCTATAGACTTGCAGAAGTGAATGGCATACTTCAGTTTTTCCTCTAGTACTTGCTTACAGGAATACCTGGGCAGCTTCAGGAGAAAGAAGCAAGTGTATGACTCAGGAAGGAAGTGGTCTGGAGGATTGTATTTATCCAATACCTGTTGAAAACAAAAAGCATAATATTCTGGTTCACTGTCCAAACCACAAATACATATCAGAATAATACTTGAGAATTTTTTTAACAGCATGTTAAATTTGTGATTCTGATGCTGAGGTTTCTTAAAAGAACAATGAAAAGACCAAATCCATTTTCCCTACACTAAGTAAATAAATAAAAGCAGACATATATGAGCTGCTTCGATTATGAATATGTGGTTAGGAACAATCTAAAAAGGATTATGTTACTTCAGCAAATACCAAAAATATGATTTGAAGATTGTGTTTTTTTAATTTAGCTGAAATGATTACTGAGCTGAATGAAATGCTAAATAAATGCCAGCAAAAACAGCTGATGACTGACAGTAGAAAACTATCAAAATCCAGAGAAGCAAATGGATGGGAAATGAAACGAATATCCACTTGCTCAAGTCAAGAGAGAAAAATATTTATACACATTATAGGTCTCTGTTGCACGGTCGAATCTACAATGTAATGTTGCATAAACAGTTTAATGAAATCCGCCTGTTCTCTTGTGACGTCATGCTACTACTTCTCCACTACCAGCTTTTTAAAATAAATATCCCACACCCCATCCCACACACCTTACCTGAATAACAAAGTCCCTCCCTCTAAAGTCTGCAATAGTCCTGGGCAGCCTTGTTCTGCCCCAAACGAAACGCAGGAAGAGAGATCGCTCTGTATTGGAGAAGGATTCCATCACTTCCCAGAACCACTGTATCAAGGAAGCAGTTGGTTCAATGCCTTTGTAAGTCGCTACAGATTTCAGAAGGTGAAGTGGAATATCTGGGCTTCCACATACCTGAAAAATAAAATATAGTGATAGGCTACAAAAGTCTGATCAAATCAATTACAGGCGATTTGTTCCCCCATTCCTTTAAAATATTTAATCAGCTTTTACACTGACAAAATGAACATTCAAATATTTGAAGTGCTGTGCACAGTCTCCTATTACAATACTACTAAATATACATCTTCCCACCACGGGACAATAATGAACCTTCTTTCATATTCCTGAATCACATAAAGAATTAAACATTTTACTTGGGACGAATATTTCCAATTCACCTCCTAGGTGCCTGTTTTGTAGGTTTTTTCGGCTTTGTTTGTTTGTTTCTTCCAGAAATAATTCATTACATCACTGCTCAGCTATATAAAAATAACCTTATTAACACCAAGAGGGCAATTAAACATTTTCTAGTCTTTCCTTGGACAAAATGTTCGCAATCACCGAGCGAGCATTGTAAATAGTATTTAATGTGGGTTTTGGATTATAAGATATAAGTGAGAATCTCACTCCAAGTTAGTCTGACAGAGTAGCAAAACAGAAATTGATACCATAGTTTCCAGTTCATATCCCGTAAATAGCGAAAGCAGAGGAACTGGAACAACACGGGCCATCCCCTCACGAACTGCTGCAACTTGTTCGTCAAATTCATGAAGTCTGCAGAGACACATTTTCAGAGTTTCTATGAATGCCATTTCTAGCAATTATTTCTAGCAATTACTGTAATACCAAGGAAACTTTAACCATTCTCCTCAAGTCTCCAGCTATGTGCCAAGGAACATTAATAAACATTTGTCACACAAGATACTTGACTTATACCAGTTTCTACACCAATTCATATTGCACAGCAAGCTCAGTATTGGAGAGATACCTCCCAATGTTTAGGATATTTTATCTCCAGCATTATTCATGTGCTGTGCCTGGCAAGAACAAACCAATATCCCATTTGGAAACAATATGCTCTTGGGAAAAGAATGGCTGTGCTTTGAAACTCTGCCCTCAAACATTCCCAACACTAGACAGACATTACGGTAAAAGAAAAATGGGTCTGAACTAAACCATGATGTCTGAGGACAGGAGTTACTGTATTTCAAGACAGACACAGATAAGTCTAACACTCTGCTGCTTCTGCTGCCACCCATGATTTGTGTTTTGCTTTTTTTTTTTTCCCTGTCAAATAATTTCTGAGATGTTTTACAGAGCTCTCCAGAGCAGATTCACATCATTGACAAGTCCTGTCCTCAGGTTTGTTATCACAAACATGTTTGTTATTGTTATCAAATAAACAAAAATGTCAGGACAAACATGGTCTTATGCATCTACTTTTTCACATGGATTCTATTCAGGTGCTAGTTTTTCTCTCAAGGTCTTCATATGATTAAAAAACTTGATACTTAATCTAAACATTTAAATGTTTCTCCCACAGGACTTTTAACTGTAAAATTTTTTAGAATTGCTCATGTCCTTTGAGGATGGCAGAACTGGCAAAAGAACAAACCCATTTCTTCAAAGGAATATAACATTTTTTGTAGACATATCGTTTATCCATTCCAAATGAAATTCCTCTCTGCTGTCAAAAATAGGTTTAAGCATTGGTTCATAACCATTTATACAAAGAACCCCAAACAAACAACAAAAAAAACCAACAACAAAACACCAAGACCATAATTTAAGTAGTTGTTGGCAGTATAACTACAAACTAATAAGCAAGTATATAGTGATGATACAGTCTTGCTCAAGCACTCTTGGTACAACAGTTAACTACGGCGGAGAGAATAAAACAACTATGAATGAGTTTCTCGTCCAAATTATCTAAATGTCCATAGTTCAATAGGCACCAGGCCCAGTGCTCCACGTAACAAGATGCCTGCGGTTGCTTCTTAGATGTACTTGTCTAGATTAGCTATCTAGGTATTTAAGTAACCAAAGGCCTGTCTTCTCAAATACTGAACAATTATTTCCCACTGATTTCAGTGCAATGTTCCGCTTTTGGCACCTGAGGGTAAATTTACTTGTCCGCACATACGTGTCAGACTTACTTTATGCTGTCCAGGGAATGAACATTTTATTTTATGTATTCCAACTTAGATAAGAATATAATAAGAATTCATCTGGGACTGTTCTTGACTACAACTGATGATATGAAAAACTGTGGGAGCAGTAGTACTAAATCCAAGCCCTATTCACAAAGAACTTAATGATCAAGCCTGCTACTTTATCGCATAGGAAGAACTAGATGGATGGAGCATTTCTCCACCTGTAAAACTGGCTGCCAAAACTGCTCTGTCAGGACAGCTATTAAAATCTAGAGCCATACCTGCTAGTTAATTTTGTTTCCTAAGAATTAAGTTCAATCTTTTCTCCTTGGAGAGATTAAAAGAAATCAGAAAATCAACACTGTAATTACATGAAAATATTAAAATACTTGTACATAAGAGGTTAAAGTAGTATATTGTTTAAAAGCTTTTATATATTTTTAAAAGAAAATGCTTATTCATGTCAATAATTTGAATGACTTGTTCAACAAACCTGTAGTTTATTGCCAGCCTCACATACTCAGCTCTATTATCCAGTGTAATATGGGTATACTTGGAACTCAACTGAATATCTTGACCACTTGCATTAGGCACAGTGAATGGGAGGCTCATAGCTTCAAACTCTTCTGAAGTAGCTTCATTGTCTCGAATGTACATAAGCCCAGGAATAAAATCTTTATCAACCTTTTGGAAGTAACAAGCCCAAATTAAAGTCAGTTTATTAGCACTATACAACACCATCTCTTGCATACCAAAAGCAGTGCATCATATGTCATCTACCAAAAGCATTGTCAAATGTCTGACCATAATCTCTCTAACTGAATTTCAAAGCCATAAAATGCCTTAGTATTTTACACAAAATTTCATTATGCTGGGATGTGGGAGGGCGCATGTGTTCTAGATTTCAATCCTTTTGGGGAGCATTTGCCAAGAAACTGTATTATGTAAGAAAATGGATTTAAAGCTTGTAGATGTGATTACGTTTTTAAAGTCCAGTGCTGGTTTTGGTACAAAAGGATTCCCCTTACTGACAAGTAAATGACTCAAAGCTTTTACAGTAAGTACATTTCTACGTGACAGTATTTGGGAAGGAACTCTTCTTTGTAACAAAGACTTAACTCTTACTCCACATTTACTGAGCTCAGTAAACAGAAATTGAAAGTTTGTGATGTTCAGTACGTGGGCACGAACTATCCTCAGTAGTAGCCTGAACTAATTTTCTTTTACTTCAAAACAGTGTAGGCGTGTGCACCCAATCAGTTACTGCATCTTGGCACAACAGACAGTAACAGCTACAGAAAGGTCTACTGGAAAGTAGGAGTTCGACCACAAACATTTGTGTAGTCAAACCCATGAGAAGATTTGAGAATGCTCTAGAATTCAAATAGCATATTTGACTACTTTTGGAACGACTTGTAAATTTACGGTTTTAACAGTGAGTACAAGTCATCCTTACATACTGGCTCAAAATATAAAAGGCCAGTCAAAATACAAATACATAGAAACCAGGGAAGCCAACCACTGGAGAAAAATTTATGCTACAGTCTGCTTGTCTTCTGTAAGTTATATCCTACTCAGAAACTTCATACTTACCTCACTGAGATCAGCAATTGTTAGGTTCATTCCTGCAAGCTGTTTCCACACTGGCTCAGCCAGGTTGAGGCTCAGAGGGCTGCCAGTCCGGATAGCAATGCCCAAAAGTACACCTGTAAGTTTAAACATAGTATTTTTCAATTTTTTTGTTAGATTCCCAGTATTCTGACCATGTAATTCAAACAGAATGTCACAATGTTGCTACGAAATTACCAAGAAAACGAAACATGTTCATATGCAAGAGGGACTTGGCAGCAGGATTTAATAGGAAACAATCTCTGTTTGCTCCAGATTCATCTCTTCCATTTGGTGTCACAATTAACAGAGGGGTTAGCCCATTCTGAAGCTCCTCGCACATTTCTGCTATTGATTCACTATAACCTCCACCGCAATCATCCACAGATTCACCTTGGAGAAGAAAAAAGGCTCAAAATTAAAACGTTCTTTTAAAAATAAATGAAGAATTGAAAAAAACTGTATTTCCTTCCACAGGGGTGATAGCTAAAAGCTGCACTGTCATATCTGTTCATACGAAAACCCTTTATGTTTCGCTTTATATTTGGATATTTCCAGTTCATTGTAAATCATACTATTTAGAAGATTATACAATATCTCAGTGTCAAAAATAGTATTTTGCCAGAGCGTAACTAACATTTTTGTGTTATACACTAATCAAAATAAAAGAGGTAGAAAAAGAAAGTCAAAGTAACGCAATTCCAAAGAAAGTTTTAAAGTAGCTATATTTTATATATCTTACATATAGTAGATAGAATGGCTCTTCAATCTAAAATATTTTTCATCAAAAAGCTCAAAGTGATATTTGAATTGTAAAAACAACCCTACCAGTAAAACCAGCTAGCCAGAATTATTTACCAACTCAGACAGCTGAAAACAGGTTTAGGTTTTGCAGAATGTTTGTTGTAAGCAAGGGTTGCCCCCAGAATTTGAGGACAATTACAGACACATTTCCACTAATATTGAGGGGTTTTATAAAAAAATTTAAAAAGGCTTTTTTGCTTCCTAACATTTTAAGCACCTTCCTCTGCCTACACACATACATTGTTTTCCTATATCCCTTCCTTCCTTCAGGTCCTCCAAAGAAGTAAATCTGAAGAAAACTGTAAAATTAAGTTCAAAACAGGTGGGGAGGTGGAGAATCCTTACCAACAAACTTGACTTTCCAAACACGATGAGGAAGCAGAAGGCTATCAGGGCTAAAGGAACTCATTTTAGCACACATCTGTCCAAACACTGACTTTGTACCATCAGGCCCAGCCAGTCCTCCTTTACTCCTAGAACGTTTTACCTATTGAGTAAGCACGTTATAAAAAGTCACTGTAAGAACATATTTCAGCTGGCATCACTGTGCAGATCAGACCGTAAGATTAGTGTTTCTAAAATACTAATGTGTTCAGTGAAACATTTGCAGAGGTCTACAGTGTATCTTGTACATATGTGACATATACAGAGAAAGAACCAAATTTCAAATTACAGCACTACAGTATTTTTCAGTACCTTCTAATATCCATACCTAGATACAGGTATCACAGACTTCTATTACATATCCCTATCCTCTCCAGGAGGATGAAAGCACTTAAAATCTCAGGCTATTAGGAGCCCAGAACTATTTCAGAATCACATGATGGTTGAGGTCAGAAGGGACCTCCGGAGATCATCTGGTCCAACTCCCCTGATCAAGCAGGGCCACCTAGAGCCAGCTGCCCAGGACCATGTCCAGATGGCTTTTAAATATCTCCAAGAATAGAGACTCCACAACCTCTCTGGGCAGCCTGTGCCAGTGCTTGGTCACCCTCACAGGAAAAAAGTGTTTCCTGATGGTCAGAGGGAACCTCCTGTGTTTCAGTTTGTGCCCATTGCCTCTGGTCCTGCCACTGGGGACCACTGAAAGGAGCCTGGCTCCCTCTTCTTTGCACCCTCCCTTCACATATGCAAAAATATACATTAATGATATGCCCCCTGAGCTTTCTCTTCTCAAGTCTAAGCAGTCCCAGCTCTCTCAGCCTTTCCTCCAGTCCCTTAATCATCTTCGTGGCCCTCTGTTGGACTCTCTCCAGTATGTCCATGTCTCTTTTGTACTGGGGAACCCAGAACTGGACCCAGCACTCCAGGTGTGGCCTCACCAGTGCTATTCAGCTGTACAGAGGGGAAGGATCACCTCCCTTGAGGTGCTGACAACACTCCCCCTAGTGCAGCCCAGGAGACCATTAGCCTTCTTTGCAGCAAGGGCACATTGCTGGCTCGTGTTCAACTTGGTGTCCACCGGGACCCACAGGTCTTTTTCTGCCAACTTCTTTGCAGCTGGGTGGCCTGTCCAGCCTGTACCGGTGCCTGGGGTTGTTCTCCCCAGCTGCAGGACCTAGATGGCAGCACGACCCTCTGGCATACTATCCACTCCTCCCAGTTTTGTATCATCGGCAAACTTGCCAAGGGTACACTCTGCCCCATCATCTAGATCATTAATGAAGATGTTGACCAGGACTGGACCCAGTATTGGCCCCTGGGGTACACGGCTAGTTACTGGCCTCCAACTAGACTTCATGCTACTGATCACCACCCTGTTGACCCAGCCGTTCAGCCAGATTTCAACCCGCCTCACTGCCTGCTCATCCAGCCCATACTTTGTCAGCTTGTTTCTGACATAAAAATAGGACATACCTAAACACTAAGGAGAAAAAGTTACTGGTTCCAGGATAGGCTGCACAGAAACTTCTGCAATAGGTCCTATCTCTGTGACATAGCTGTTTAACTGTCAGTGATTACTACAATTATCACCATTTATAAGCACTGCAAATTCCAGCGCCTCTGTAACAGAAGAAATTTTTCAACTAATGCTTGGATTGGCACAAACATGAAAAACAGTATCTGGTTATCTAGATGCTTCCACTACATGTCTTGAACTGACCTGACAATGCTGAATGATTGTTCTAGGTAATTTCTATGACCTGATATAGATATAACTACTTGAGACAATCTTAGTTCAAACACAGCTGACCACAATGATGGTGGTGATTTTTTTTTAAATGAAACTAAAAATTTGGAGGCTGATTAGGCCTTAGTAATTTTACTATTAGAGCTGGAAACATGCAAAAACAATAGGTGTGTTCATTGCAGTTAGACAGAATGATTCTTACCAGTTAACAACCCTGTGGGCTTTCTTCCCTAGATAAGGAATTTTACGTTCTCCCAACCACCAATACCTTACTTATTTTTAATTTCAAACAGTTCATTGTTCATCTGTCTCTACTCAGCATTATATCTGTTCATCTTTAAAGGAAAATGGAAAGACAGAGGGGTATCAATGATAAAATTTGTTGATAAAGTTTTCTTCCCCTATTTCTGAAGAAGCAGCCAATGCCTTGGTAAATTCAGTTTTTCTGGATTGCAATCCACTTAGTTAATGCATCCTATCTCTACTCATACATTTGATTGTCAAATATGGGTAAGTTTTTCATACATAAGACAGATCAGAGGCTGTGTTGTTGGCCAGAAAACTGAATACATGTTTTTCTTATATTCATTAATGATAGTATTTAAATATGCATCTGTGATACTTACTAGGAGCCTCTAAAAATGAGTAAGCACTACCAAAATACATATGTATATACACACACAGAGTAATGTGTTTCTTAGGTACCTACAGAAAAAGCGTATTTTAAGATTTGATAAAGATCCGTAAGAAATGGAATGCAAGGAAAATCCGACGTATTTTGCTGCAAGAGATGCACACAAAGTGGCTAAGAATACAAAAAGCATTTCACCAGTATAGAGGGGAAAGAAATGGAAAGTAAACAGAAGGCTGGAGAAACCCAAAATATTTTTTTCCCCCTTGGTGTTCTGAAATTTATATTCTCAACCTGCCCTGACTGCAAAGGGACTCCTACAGTGCACATAGTTCACCTGTATCTGTAAGATTGTTCATTCAGAAATAACCCAGACTCATCCCACTAATCTGTATTTGGTCCCACTCCAAGCTACAGCACATCTCAAAATCCAGTTGTTCTGATGCGGCATACTTCTGACGCTTTGGATAAAACATCCACCAGATTTCTTTCAGGTTTTATTAAAAGGCTGACACACTCAAGTCCTCCTCATGTGTAAGATGTTCTGTATCAACACAAGCTGGGTTTAATACAATGGATTTCTAAGACATTTGGATGCCCAGAAAATTTTAAGTTGAGAAATCACTGAGTCTTCTCTTAAAAAGAGGAAAGTATGAGTAGAAGGTCTATGAAAGCAGTAGTTAATTCACTGTTTTTTCAAACCTCAGACCTAAAATACAAATTAATCAAGTGACAATAAAAAGGCAAGTAATCCTGCCTGAACTGAATAGGATGGCATGCACATTTGGTATTATACATCTAGTTTAGTATTTATTCACTAGCAACACAAAACTTTCATTTAATCTGATCATTTAGAGGCAGGAATGGTTACAATTTGACTTTTAACAAAGCAATGTAAGAACGCCACGAAGGATTATTGGCATTTCTGCCAGCACCTTAATATATTGCCTGCTGACAAAGACAGATGCCCATATTAAAATTTATTAGGTTATTAGCAAAGAGTAAATACACTTCACTGAAAAACGGCAAAAATTCATACAAATATGTTTAGGCCACAATCCATCACAAGCAGTTTAGCTTTTTATTGTAGAGGTCTGGAGCACAGCATCTTGCTCATGTTTCCAAATCATCCCCTTTAGAGACGTAAGTATCCTGTGAAATGTATTTTACTGAATAGGCTGAATAGGGTCAGATATAGCCCTCACTGAATACATGCCTTATTAAACCCAGATTATGCAGTATCTCAAGTTTTTAAAATACAGTTCCAGCCTTCTTGCTGATGAGGTAACTTTTTAGCATAAAACAAGGTAATATGTTTATTAGAGCCCAAGAAGGATTTTCATAAAACAGTCTGCCATCAGAAGGTTATCAGCTTGTGGAAAACCAACTTTTCTTGGACCAGAGAGAAATGCAGCAGCTCAAAAGCAGCATACAGTGAAGTGTGGAAGAATCAGGTTCAAGAACTTGCCCCAGTGAATAATCACTTGTTGTGAGCAGAACCACCACAACGAAGGGGGAGAGGCACTCAAGTCAATCTGTAATCTGGTTAAAGCATTTTGAAGTGAAGACGACCAAAATTTCAGTTCTTCCTCTGAATCACAAAATTTTATATTTGTCTCAAGCAGCCTGAGAGTACCCACTGAAATACTGGCCATCCTGTGGGACTCTCTCCAGCCCACCAGAACTTGGGAGAAATGTAGTACATAAAGCCATGAACTCAGAGACTAATAAAAAAGTTCACAAAAAGGTGACAGCTTATTAGTTGGAATCAGCTAAGAAAGAGAAATATGTACTCTTAACATAGAAGACAGATCTATGAAGGAAACAAACACAATTCAAGGATATGTCATGATATCAATCTCCAGAAGAGGCAGAGAAGTATTAGTGTGATAATTACAAGAGCACAGACACAGTTTCACCTGTACCTTGAGGTTTCAGTTATCTATGCTTAAACTGAAATGCTACAGAAAAAATACCATATAAAAAGATGAGGAGTAGAGAAAGACTATTCTACACAAGCAGACAAAAAAAGCTTAGCCTGATCAGTGTAGGAAAATGAAGGCTGTCATGAAATGAGTGTTCTTTAAAAGCACATTTGATAAGGGAGAAGACAATAACCAGGAAGGAGGAACGTTATTTAAACTGAAGTATAACACTCACAAAAGAACAAATAATTCATTCATTGATATGCTATGCCTACTTTAAGATCAGATCATTTTTAAACATCATGCTAGTGAGATTTCTGTAACCCACGTTTAATAAGGAGCCCTAGTGAAGAGGAAGAAACTATTCTTAAAGTAGGATTTCATATATCCGTAAGTGTGACATTCCTCCCGTGACAGTAGAGAACATTGAACCAGGAGATCCTTTGCAATATTACATTCCTGCCTTAATAACCGAAATCTGTTTCCCTTTTAAAAGGACGAAATGCCTTTCAACTGGTGTGATAATCTCTTTCATCTAAAGGCAAGATATGATTTAACAGCATTATAAATGTGTCTGCCTATAGGTCATAACACACTGTCCATTTGACACCGCATGAGCTACACCGGTACTTAAATACTAGGTAAATCTGATCTGCTAGTAAGAGGGTCAGTAAGTAAACTTGAGCACTGGAGCCCTGTCTAGACATGTAACTGTTAGTTCACTTCCTGGCTCAGTCCTCAACTACTTCTATTACGCCTTTCCAGAACAAGGCCCAGGTGCTGTTTTGGAACATTTCACGTAACGACCATTCCCAAAAAATAATATGGATAAAACTGCATCAAGATTGGTTTCTTCTGCCCTGCGCAGTCCTCCAACAGTGTCCCTAATTGTCTCTGTGCATTCAAGCTTGCCCTCATGCTACACCTCAAAGCATAAAACATCTACCCTCAATTTTATGCTATATAAATACCAGGCTGGCACTTGGGTGAGTTGCAGTACAGCCATCACATTGTATTTCACACACCTTGAGCAAGAAAACTACATAAAACTACTGTGTCCTACTATCACAAGGCTCCCAACAGAAAAGATCCAGGGCCAAGCAGTATGTAAGATGAATGTGATCTACTCTAAAGGAATCTGGTCCATGTAAAACTTGACTGCAGGACAAGGGAGTAGTGTTTGGCCTGCTTTTATGCTGCAAGTTAGACAGCTGTTATGTCCAGTTCTTCTTCCAAAGAAACCACTGAACAACAAGGCAAGCTGAGGAAGTATTTTAAAAAACAAGTCAGTATCTGGAAAACAACTTTAAATTAAAAACTCATCTGTTTATTTTATACAAAGGAAGACGATGAAGTGAATTGACTGCACCATATAATATATAAAGTGTAAGAAGAGTCTTCTGAAAGCAAAGGGATCTTAAAGCCTAGCTGAAGTTGAACTCACAACTGCAAATAAGATGAAAATTCTTAACATTGACAATTAGCTGTTTGAGACTATGTAAAGCAGCTTTGAATTTTCAATTAAATATTATAAAGGATCAAACAGTTTAAGAATCCACATTTTCATTCTCTGCAAAAGCTAACTCAAGAAATTGTGACCTGTACTTGGTACTGTATAATCAGGCCAGATTATGAACATGGTCTTTTTTAGCCTTCACTTTGCTAAATTTAGGACAGACTTGTGTTACAGCAGTATTTCATTTCCCCCAGAAGCTATGAAGAAGGGAAGCCCTGCAGCAACCACCTCTTTTCTAGAGTTCAAGACAGATTCAAGCAACGAACTGGAATACAAGAGAAAGCCTATCTTAAACTCAACAGTAGAAGGAGAACACTAGGAAATGAGCCCAAAACCTACTCACTAGTTTCCTGTTTAAAGTTAAATACTTGCACTGCTTCACTGGACTTTCTGAATTCTCACACACACACACAAAAAAGTAACTAGAAAAATCACTGGCACTCTCTTCAGCTTCAACTTCCCAAATAATAAACTAAAACAACACATTTTAATCACATAACGTTACCACAAGAAATTTTAAGTGCCCATAGAAAATGGCAAAGGAGCAGAAACAGGGTCCAGCCACAACAGGATGTACTTCTGTTCACTAAGAGAAGACTAATTAGTCAAAATTTTCACAATTTCTCCATTCTAACCTTACAAAGAGTAGGTTTTCTTACTTTTTACAATATACAAAAAAAAGAAAGCCACCACTACTGGAAAGAAATGCACGAGGACTCTGTAAAACCAGGCTTCAGTCCATTTAAACGAAAACAATGTTTTACTATTCTATGTTACAGAAATAGTTATGAAAAAAAAGACATATCTGGCCTAAGGCACATTACATTTTCTAACGTCAATGATAAGGAAAAAAGCCCTTTTGTATTAAAGAGTTCTGCAATCAATATGACCACATGTGATGACCAGCAAAGGACGAGTTTATCAGCCTGATTTTTAATTATATCAAGGGTTGGGGTTTTTTTCCTTGCCTTTTTTTTTTTCCTTCATGTTCTCTGTTATGAAAGCAACAGCTGAATAATTCATCTGACCATTTAGAAAGGTAAGAAAGGCATCAGAATCACTACTCTCTTAAATTATCTAATGTAGTGAGTTTTGAAAAATCGGTCCTTTGTCAACCAGGACATATTTTGCTCCTTAGAGTCTAAATCATTTACCCTAATACTGTGGGCTAAACATACAGATACTAAAATCAAAACTTCAGCTTAAGATACCTGTATTCTGTTGAGCTCTACAACTGGCCCATGCTGACGGTCTCTCACCATAGTTGCTTGCACAACTTTTCTGAAAGCTGCCTCCTAAAAAAGCAAAATCGAAAAAATTAAGATAGTGGCAGAACTGCAATCAAGTAAGAAAGCTGCACATATTTCACAGATAAACACATACTTAGTTCAACTCAGGAAAAAAAAAAAGACTCTTCAGCAGAACAGAGAAACTGATGCTGCAATACTGTCCTGAGTACATCAAAAAACACTAGAAAAGGCGTAACACCTCTGAGTCTTTCTTTAGAAGAAATGGAAACAAGCATCAAATGCTTTTGGAATACTAAAAATAAACAAAAGCAACAGAAGATAAAGCTGTGCTTTATCTTAAAGTTAGTTAAGGATCGTGTTATTTGTGCTAATACAATTCAAGTCTGTAATAGTCGGGATACTAAAAAAGTAAAGAAGAAAGTCTCTCCTGTATCACTCAAACTGATGGCTTGAAAGGTTGTAGTGCACCCAGATTCAGTTATTACTAAGCAACCAACATGCCACTGAGTGCAGGTATAAATTAGTTTATACCAAAATAAAATATATATATATGGAGAATAATTAATGTCAGAGAAAAACAATCAAAAAAGCCAAAGATGAGATCATTTTGCTACAGAAGTCAATAAATAAACAACAAATAAAAATAAAAAATAAACTTTTCATGCAAATTCAAGTATCTGAGGTTCTCTCGCTAAATATTTGAATCAAATTTTATACTGTCAGTGTCAAGCAAGCTTTAAAAAGATTAGATTTTTAAGTCTTTAGAATCTCTGAAGGTAAGCCTGACTTAAATGCCGAGATATGAATATGGCATCGCAACTTCTGGTGTCACTGTTGAATGCTTTTGACATAAAATATGCCTGATACCACATTTTATCTTCTGTCTGGAGCCTTTCTGTAACTGTTCTGCAGACTCTTGAAGTAAATTATGCTGAATGTGCCTCCTGCACACCCATTCCTATACTTAACATCATATACCTAAAGACTCCCTATTAATAGCACTAACATACCATAGAATCATAGAATCATTAAGGTTGGAAAAGACCTCTAAGATCATCGAGTCCAACCGTCAACCCAACACCACCATGCCTACTAAACCATGTCCCTAAGCGCCTCATCTACACGTCTTTTAAATACTTCCAGGGATGGGGACTCCACCACTTCCCTGGGCAGCCTGTTCCAATGTTTAACCACTCTTTCAGGAAAGACATTTTTCTTCATGTCCAATCTACACCTCCCCTGGCGCAACTGGAGGCCATTTCCTCTCGTCCTAAAAGCGTCCTATAAAAGTGTCATGAACAGAATAGCTAGGATTATCCTTTCCTTTTTTCCAATTTAGGTTTTGATGAAAAATGTGTGATCTTCTCTTGGTCTGTGAAGCATGTATTCTGCTGGATTGCTCTACCACACTAGAGAAAGAGACCTTGAGACAATACATCCTAAGGAGTCTAGTTACAGGCCATGTGTCTTATTTAAGAACAGCACTGCAGACGGAAACTTCACTGCTTCTCTTTTCAAATGTATCTCCCAGCAGATTTTGTCTGTTTATATAAGGTTATCATTTTTTGTTAGACAACTTACTACGACAGTGAGAAAATTCAGATCCAAAACTGATGATCATACTGAAGGTAAGTCATGTTTTTAAAGGCTTTCCATACCTGAAGTTTTGAATAGATGTTGTAACCTTGAAGCATTATAATTACCTAGATTTTCTCATGACTGACTTTACTTACAACTATAAAAATCCACTTTCTTTACTGATTTGAGATTGAACTCCTAGGTATTCTGTCTTCACTTTTAGCCCAGTCTAGAACAAGTTTGTACCTGCATAGAGCTTTGGATCAACTAGTGTATCACCTGATCATGACAACTGAAACACAAAAAGCAGACAATGACCATTTCGTACCTATCTTACTTTTTTTTCCAGGATAGCATCTACTGAATACTCTAGAAGAATTCGACTATACTACAAACTGAAGATTTACAGTGTAAGTTATTTTCAAGATCAACACACAAAAGCGCTATGATGAACAACTGAGGAAAACATAATAAAAAGAACACATTCACAAAGAAGGAAGTTTGCATAATCAGAATGCAAATATTTGATATACAACTTACAGAACAAATTGAGATACATAGTTCTATTTTCTTCAGAAACAGTTTAAACAGTAGGTTTCACTTACAGTTACAAATCCATCCCTTAAAAATATTCTGATAAATACCTTTCCCTGTGATATCAGTATTCCCCGTAACGTGTCAAACCCAACTGAGGGTCCTTGGCCAGTTTCATCAAGTCTTCCTTCAAGATCAAACATTGGAATGCAAGGACAGAAGAGTTCAGAAATGTGATGCAACAGCAGAAGCCTGTTTCTCAATGAAATGATGGGAATTTCCTGCAGGTGATTATACTCCATAGGAACCTATGATAAGGCAATGATATCCAAATGTAATTTAGAATTATTATACGCTTTATTTTATTAAACAGGACAACAATTTACAAGATTTGTAGGTAAATTTGTATTAGATAGAGATTCAGATACTTGCTTATTCACACTGTCAAAACTTAATACACCGAGTTGAGTTGTTTATAAAAGATACTAATAGTATCCATTTAAACTGAAACAAGTATTAGAAACATGACAGTCAGACTGTTCTTGCTATTCCATATTTTACAATTCTCTTTATCCATAAATAGACACATTTTACATCCCATCATCGCTACACCCAGGCATTATAGCTGAAAGACAGAATATTCAAAAAACAATCTTCTCAACGTAAAGCAAGCAAGGAAGAACTCCCTTGGAAGGCATAAGATTTTCATACCTGGAATACAGATCTAAAATTCCTGCCAATTTGCAAACTGAGTTACTGTTCTGCATTGGGTTAACAACTGAATGAAGAGGTTTTCTCACCTCAGAAAATTGGAATCCTTCTTTGGAAATACGGAAGTAAAACAAAGTAACTGGCTCAAACTTGAAGTCAAATCAAAGCGCACTGAGCTTATGCAGGGATTTAGAAAGGAAGTAAGTCTACTGAAAGATCAGCAATAAGCATACTAAGTATGTTTAAAATCTGAACACAATAAGCCAAAAATATTACCTGTGTAGGGAGCTTGCCAGCATTAGCAGGTTTACTGGTTGACCAAGCTAAAGTATGTGCTGAGCCACAGGCTACTCTGTTGATCTTTTTACCCTGAAGTGCTGCAACCAAGCGTGGCCTTTGGATGGCATTAGTTGTTCCATCTCCAAGCTGCCCTTCATCATTATCTCCCCATGTATACACTTCCCCTAAATCAATAAAAATAATTAATTGTCCTGAAGCTAAGATAGAAGCTTTTTGCCTTTTTTTTTTAATTAGCATTTATAAATCATTTAACCGAATGAGGCTTTGGACTGTAATCAAGATTTCTAGGACTGATGGCCATCCTGAAATCCACTATCTAGTGCAGATAAATCTTGAACGACACGGTTAGGCCCATGGTCTATGTAGAGCAGCTAGTATAAGATGCATTTATTTCCTCATAGTTCATATAACTTAAAAGTTCTGTTCCAGAACAGGAGGAAATGGTGGAGCAGAAGAGTAACAACAGATACACCAAAACCAGCCTGTATTTGATAGTTTCATAGCAAAAAAAGCTGATATTAAAAAAAAGAATTAGAAAAGACTTAACATTTTGTATGAGACAAAAGAAAAGATCCTATAATAGGTTGTGTTACTAGAGAGGACATTAAAATGGATGCTTACTGTTGCAAGATAATTGGAAAATACCTGTAGAACAGCAACCTTGTTTCTGAGCATTCATCTTCTGCAGCTATATCCTATTTCACTAGCACCTATAAAACACTCAGTTATTGTGCAGACTTGGTAATTAAATGTGAGAGTGAGTCTGCTACAAAGAATATTCAATACCTCAACCTGCTCTGTAAGAAGCAATATTGTTTGTGCAGTGCTTCATTTAGCAAGCTAAACTTGCTCAGAAGACCCTGTAAAAAAAAAAGCCCAATCCATTCATTCTACTGCTTGACCAATCTGTAATTAGTTTTAGGGCTCTATATTTTTCTTGAACCAATCTGTATTACTTTTAGGGCTCTATATTTTTCTTTGACTATCAGCATTTATGAAACTTAAACTACTTTTTATTAATTAAAAACCTTCAGTTGGTTTTATGTGATCATTTTAAAATCAATGACAAGCTTGCTGCTCAAGAAATATGCAACATCTGCAAACACAAAATATGTCCATGCACATAGAGGACCAGCAATTTTAGCAAGGACACCCTACCAACAGCTCACTAAAAAATAAAGTTTCATTTTTTTCAAATTCAGTACTGAGAACTAAGTAAATTATTTGATTTTTATACCATCTTCAGTGCAGCAAACACAGTGCAAAGACCCAGTAGCAATTGCAATGACTTTCTTTCCTTGCAGTCCCTGTACTTGTCGTGGTCTTCTAACATGGTCATCAGATCCATGGCCTAACCGATGATAATCTCCTTTGCCCCTGCACAGAGAAGGTAAAACATTTCAAAACTGTGTTTTAATTGTGGAAAAAAATGGAATGACAGCCTCTGTCTGATATTTGGCCTGTAGATGTATTCATAAACAGTCCAATATCAAAATATTCCCCAAATATTCAACATTAATCATCCCTAGCTCGTATGACATGGATGTGATTCTGCTGGTATATTAAAAATTCTTAAACCTCCAATATGCTGTTCCTACTTCTTCTATGTAGGTCCTTATAGCACTTTTGCAGGGGGTTGTTTGGTTTTTTTTCCTCTTAAAAGGATCAAGTATTAGAAGCATTCATCTGCAAAAACAGTACGTTTACTGACCTCAGAGACTGGAACTTTGTACAGTTTAAGGATATCTCTAATGCCATGCAAATAAAGGGGCAGATGTTGGGAAGGTATTTTGTTTAGTCTTTTCAAACACTTAAGTAGTAGTTTAAACTACAAAATTTTGAATGGCCTAGGAAGAATAAAACAATGAACTAAAATAAAATTCTCAGACTACCACCACCACAAGCTAGACACAGTTTTGGTAACATAATGTTATTTATGCTATCATCTTGCACCCTGCATGACACTTCAGGCTTATACTTCTACTGACCTCCTTGGAACTTCTGCATCTTGCAGCGGTCAATGCCTGGAATGACAACTCTGTGCTTAGGTCTCCAAGACAAAATACTTTGATTTTTCATTCAAATAGCACTATAAAATGTTCCCCAAAGTGGTAGATTTTATTACTAATCAAGACAGAGGAACTTTAAAAAGTGTTTGGGTGGGGGGGGGGGAGGGTGTCAAAACAGTGAAGGCAGTGTAACACGAATACCTGTTGCAGACAAGGTTACATCTAACACTGTCAAAATAACTAATACAAAATACTTACCACGTATATACTGCTCCAGATTTGGTAAGAGCCACAGAAAATTGTGATCCACATTCTACTTTAACCACTCCAAGGCCTGTGAGGGAATCAATCTAGGAAAATAGTATCAAATTAAATAAAAGTTAATTAAGGAGGCTATAGTTTCATAGGCTGCACTGTCTTAAGTAAAATATAAGGTGGAAGTGTGTAAGTGTCAATATGTGTATTTATAAATTAAAATGTGTATGTAGATCAGTTAGCAGAATGCTACTCCTTTCATCTTTCTACCATTTACTACTTAAATATTAAAAAGAAGCTCAGATTTGGCAAACTGTTGAAGATAATCTCTAATATGTTTTGCCAATAGTTACTCAGCAATTGCTCCTCAGTAGAAACGGTAAGGCTCTGTCTGAAAATACTCAACATTAATCATCCCTAGCTTGTATGACATGGATGTGATTCTGCTGACATAGTAAAATTATTTAAACCTCCAGTACACTCTCCCTATTTATTCAGTGTAGATCCTTATGCCACTTTACCATCAACCCTATGGGACTGATTGATAAAACATAAACAAGCTCTTTTCATATTGTGATACATCATCAATATCAATTGATACCCCTTTCTGGAATGAAGTTATGACTTTAGCAGTACTATGGAAATTTATTAACACAAGGAAATATGAAGATTTCTTGGCAATATTCCTATTTATTCAGTGTAGATCCTTATGCCACTTTACCATCAACCCTATGGGACTGATTGATAAAACATAAACAAGCTCTTTTCATATTGTGATACATCATCAATATCAATTGATACCCCTTTCTGGAATGAAGTTATGACTTTAGCAGTACTATGGAAATTTATTAACACAAGGAAATATGAAGATTTCTTGGCAATATCTGTTTTGACAGGAACCCAAATCAAAATGAGAAACATTGCCAGAACCAATGTTCTCCAAAGAAAAAACCTTGAAGTGCAACTTAACAGTCAGCACAAAATTTAAAGACTCGTCATTAGAGCCTACAAAGTTCGTTCTTAACAACAATCAGAAGAATCCTGATGTCCCCAGATGGGTGGAAGTTTGCACATATTGACAAATCTGTCTTCAGCTTTCTACATCAACCTCATGGTTTCTAAAACAATGAAAAATTACATTCAAATACCTTCATTGGTACTTTACAACCATCACTGCCTCCTCTCCCAAGTTTTCCATAATCTCCATCACCCCAGGACCAGACTGTATCATCATCAGTCAGGCACAGTGTCTGTGCATCTCCACTGCCACAGGCTATGTCAATCACACGGTAGCCCTGGAGAGCTTCCACCTGTAAAGAAAGCACCCATTTTTGTTCACAATAAAAGACTCGGTCATTTAGTTTCAGAAAAGATGACAAACCCAACTTGGAGAGGTGTTTCACTGGAAGTACAAGTCTGAAACACCACAAGAACAAGCAAATAAAGGCAAGTCAAAGGGCTTTGCTCTTTTCTAACCAGCAAGATGAAAACTAACTACGTGTTTTTAAATACTGGATTATTCCTTTTAATTGGTGAACTAGTTAAATTTTTTTGACCTAAAAGGTCAGGGAAAACAATTCATACAAAACATGTGAGGTTATCAAAGACTATATTCTGTTTAAATAATTTCTGGCTCTCTGGGTGAGTACTGTATACAGTAAGAAAAAGAGAGTCTTATTTTCAAATACTCTTTTACTAGTTTACAATTTTCTAGCACTTGCATCATAATCTGAATTTAATCAACATCTTTTGAAATGCTGCCATCTAGTGATAAAGCATGAGATTTGGATTCACAAATTAAAAGGATGGTGACCCACATATATCACATCCCCCCATCCTCACCCCTACTTGAAATAAGATTATAGGTAGCACAACCCATCATCCACAGCGGCATAGAACTTCACATACTTCAGTTCATCTACAGATTATCTATTTTCATACTAACCAAGAACATGGTGGGGGGAAAGATGTATAAAGATGTATACGAAAGGCGGGTAGACCTTGTTTTTTGGGGGCAGGGGAACGAGAACATCTGGATACAGGTGATAAGGTCCCAAACTGGACTAAGAATGTGTGATACCTTGTCCCACAAATTCAAGCACTGAAAAAAGTTAATGCTTGCATGAATAGAAATATATGCACAGACCTATGAATAAAAATGACAAACTAACATCCAGTTTGATTCAACTAATGTAATCTTATTCTTTGCTGTATTTTCAGCAAGAGAACACAGGTAGCAAAATGAACTCTCATTTCAAAGGCAGGGCAGTTTTCTTAATACCTCTATTCTAACTTAAAGCTCTTACAGTCTAGTTCACAGGAGTACAACAGTCTGAATTACAACTCGTCAGTTAATCAGTGTACTCATTCTTCCTACATTCAATACTGTCCAAGTTCTCGGATTTACCACTTAAGAAACAAATGGAAACAGCTATCTTCTTCATCAATAATTGTTTAACTCAAATTTCTTTAGCAACTAGCAATTAAATACTTCATAATTACTTAGGTTAAATTCTTATTAATTTAGTATATACATCAGTAACATCTCAGTATTCAATCCTGAGAATTAAGAGTATAACTATTATGTCAGGAAAAAAGCAGTTTGCAAGTGACTAAGTGGCTATCACTGTATAGCACTGTATGTGTGTGTATATATATATATCACTGTGTATATATATCTATATCTATCTCACTGGTATATTTTCCAGGAAGTAAGCAATGAAGGGACCCAGTGGATGAGGAGTTCACTTGTTACTTTCAGTGCAAACTACTCCTGTGAAGGGGTGGAATTTACTTACTGGGGGGTGGGATGTTTGATTTGAGGTTTTCTTTAAGTCTTCTCTAAAACAAATTCCTTATAAGCTGTTTAGTGACCTCTAGCAAAGTTTTGCAGCTCCACTTTCACTTTATTCTTCCAATCCATTCCTGTTTTCTAAAGCAACTGTTCATTTCTTACAAATACATGCCACCATTTTGTCCTTTCAGTCTTTACATGCAGAAATGCAAAAAGTTACGAATCAGAAGGTAAGAACTGGACTAAGGCTGTATAGAACTCCAAAGGTTTCTTACCAGTTTAGGTTTTAGTTGGTCCTCACTATCTCCATGCCCAAGGCGTCCATATCTCCCCTTTCCCCATGTAAAAAGGTCTCCTGCGGCTGTAATACATGCGCTGTGTGCTCCCCCAGCAGCAATGTCAACCACTTCTATACCTCTCAGGGATTCAATTACGCGAGGACGATCACAAGGGCTGAAATGAAAATATTTGTCTTGACAAAACTTCTAGAATAGACCATTCACGTTCACCAATGTATGGAGAGAGGTTTTTAAAATGAGTACGAGGACACCTAAAATAACTGAGTATTTGCTTAATATCCTAAAGATTTAAGTTTAATTAGTCATTCAGAAATATTTTTAGAGGCCTATAAAAGCTATAAGTATTTTACCATACAGCATTACAGGTAAGCCGAAACTACAAAAACTTCCATTAAAATCTAGTCAAAGCTAAGCATTTACCCTGGAAAATCAGTCCAATTTAAGATACATTATCAAAATTTCTAGCATAAAATGTACTGTTGCCCCCCATGGACTTCAGCATTCCTTTTCCTTTTTGGATCAGAATATTGTTATTTTTAACGCAACAGAACTTCTCCTTTAGCGTAGGCAACAATGCATGTGGAGATCAGAAGCAGAATGGCAGTTTTGCTCCCTGAAGTGCCTTGAAGTTCCACATACCTACAAGACAGATCCCAAAGCAAAGCCACTGGACTTTAGCATCCACAGATGCGTTAGAACACAGTATCTAACTACAGAAATTAGAGTAACTGTTTGTCTGAAAAATATTTTGTGGTTCTCCAATTTAAAAATTTACATTTCCACATCACTACTTAACACTGACTTCTACATATAGGCAGTACTCATACACGACTTCAAATACATAGCAACTATAATAAGTATCCGTTAATAGCTTTTAAAGATAATGTTTCAAAGTGTTACTTACCTTCGGTTTCCATGACCAAGTTTACCATCTTCTGCTTCACCCCAAGAATAAACTTCTCCCTCAGAAGACAATGCCAAACAGTGCTTTCCTCCTGAGTTCACCGCAACTTTCTTTATAAACACGTGTTGAATGGATTCCAGTAAAGTTGGAGTAGAAACTGACTCTGTTCCTCCAATTCCAAGCCTACCACCTGCTCCGTATCCGGTGGCATACAGCTTTAAAGTGAAGAATAAAATGTAATTTTGTTTGCCTCTTGAAGAACATTCACTAGAGCTGTAGAGAAGAATTCTAATGAAGGTATACTAGAACACAGTTAAAGGAAAGCCTGAAAAAACAGTTTCTTACATGCCTTTACACCCTCTTCTGGAAAATAAGAAATATTTTTAAATATTTCACAAAATTTTGTAAAAATATGGCTACATTCAAGTCAATATGAACTGTCACTGACTTAATGGATTTCATTTTAAATCCTAAGGCTGATTTTGTAAAAGTATCAAGAAACCATAGCTTTGCATGATAACATTACAAAATCATCTATCACCTGTAGGTCTTTTTCAAGCAGCACTATTCTAGTTTTCTTTCTTCTGTGGAATATACACACCTAAACACAGTTGCTTCTTCCCCTCCCATCCCATAAATACAGTTTTAAGTACTGCTTTTCACTCTCTTTTTGTCTATCTGAAAGTAATTTCTCCCAACAGAATGATGCCAAGCAATGTCATTCATCTGTCCCTTATCCTTCTGTGAATCATTAACAAGGATGATACTGACTGCTGAGGACAGAATCATTACAGTATCTCACTAGATGAATGTAACTGTTACACAAAGCTCTAGCTAAAATTCTCGATCATGTCCTCAACACAAAGCTGCCATCTGTATCAAAATAAAGATTTTTTCAAATTCGTTAACTTATTTTTTTCTCCTATACCTTACACTAAACCTCTGCATGGTGCTCCTTTTCACTCAGGATTTAAGCACCTGCAAATTAGATCCTCCAATATCTAACTTACAGCCATTTAGCCAACTGTGAACGATCTCAGATTCCAATTACACCGAGCCGCGTCCCCCCACCCCCCCCACCCCAAGTCAGAGACACAATCACCATCCCATTTTACTGTCTGTCCTGTTTTATGGGACTCTGTGAGCACATTACTTGTATTCAGCTTTGTTTTCCAAAATCTGATCACAGTTTTGAATTGAGAACTAAGATGCATGTCTTGTTTCATGCATTTAATGCTATTGTACACTGAATACCTAGATTGCACTGGTGGTGCAAGTGGTATAGTAGAGTTTCTTTAAAAAAAAATAGTAATAATAAATCTGTGCTATGCACATTATTTTTGATTTAGCCAAACCCATTCTAACTGAGGATGAAATTTTTCAAGGGACTCTAACGAACAATTGTTCGTTGTATCCTTACTTTCCCATCAGCAGTCACTGCAAACAGAGTTTGTTCACCACCAATTAACTGCACCGGTCTGAGGGTAGCAAGAGCTTCACACGGAGTTGGGACTTTGACTTTTGCCCCTTCAATCCCACCAAGTTGTCCTCTGTGATTATGACCCCAACCATAAATAGTTCCACTGCCTCCAGCTGAAAGTGTCCAATCATCAGGTCGTCTGCAGAAAATGCAAAACAAACAAAATTTTAAAAGAGCTTTTAAAAAGTCACAAGAAAGTGCAGTTTATCATTGTACAACAATGAAGCATCACAAGATCAAACCAGTGACAGCTGAAAGAAATAACCTATTCATCCACTGGACAAGCTGTTCATCCTGTTCTCTCTTAAAGACATCATGGCACTCATGAAGAACATCCATATTTTCGTTATCTGCCATTAATTCTCGGATTTTCTTTGCCACCTGAAAAATATTTTGGATTAAACAACATTATCCAAACTACCAGTTAATCCTATCATAGTTGGCATAAAATACTTCAAACTCAGTGTATCTTTTAAAATTAAACACTTTCATATGTTCTATGAACCATTTAAAATATTCCTGCAGTACCTCATCGAGGAAAAGGCGAGGTAATGGTGTCCTTTTATCAAGAGCCACAGCAACCCTGGATGCCATACAGTATCTCCTGAACCAGGCCCATTTGTGTGTCTCTGCACAGCAAGGGAGAGTGTCCAACTCCAGATCACAAGCAAGAGCCACAAGCACCTGCAGACAATCAAAAAACATTTTAGAGATGTATCAAAAACGTGTAATAAAAAGTAATATGCATTTGATGCAGTTGAACAGCTCATAGACCAACAGGGCCTGAATAGAGTCTCAAAGACACATTAAAAGCCATCTTCATTACCCTCACTGACAGGGCAGCATGAAACGTACCCACACTCTCTCACACGGTTATGTATCTAATTTCTTCTTCCAATCCAGAAATTTTCACAACCCCCCTGTGAAAAACACTCCTAGATTAATTAACTTTTCTATATCAAATACCATGTGCTGAACTTTTTACCTTCCATTTCAAAACTGTCGCCTTCCTACAATTAAATCAATTTTCAATTGATTTTCAATTTGATTCAATTTCAAGTCAATGTTACTGATGAAGATTGTGAACAATGGATTAGTTCTTCCCTGTATAAACTTTTACATATTTTAATAATTTCTTTTCCTTAAGCTAGGTAAGTCCTCTTAGTTTAACTTTTAGTACATGGGAGGCTTTTTCAGCCTTTTATTCTTGTTGCTCTTCTCTAGACTTCCTCAGCTTGTTTGTTTTTACTTTGAAGTACAGGGTCCAAACTGAATAGCCTTCCTTTTAAGGAATTCCTATCTGTTCCAATGACATGTAAATAAAACCTTCAGAGTATTTAAATAAATAAATAAAAGTATACAACACTCCTATTAGGACAATTCAGAAATAACTTATCAGAAAGTGCAGCCTACTGTACTTCCAAGATGTTTTTCTGACCTACCTACCTCTGTCTAGCTAGGTACTCCTTATTCTTTACTTGTATATTTGATTCTCCTTTTAGAAGCAGTACACTGATTTTGTCAGAAAATGTTTCTGATATGGGACTACATGAGCTTACCACATCTCTCAAAAAAATCCAGAACTGTACTAATGAATTCTTTACTCATTGTACCCCATTACCTTAAAGAAAGGGCTGTGGAGCAGTTGTTTGCCACCTCTCACAATGGGATCTTCATAGTCAAACTGTCGCTGCAAAGCTTCTGGAAGACCTTTAACCAAAGCAGCTAAAGCACTCCCTGTGAAACTCTAGAGAAACCACAGAACTAGAAAGTTAGTCTTACTGTATGCATTAAAAAAAAGTACATTTAGATGACCATGACAAAACATTAGTAACTTCCCAAACTACAGTTAGCTATGTGAAGTATCATTTCCATCCATTTCCTAATCCAAAAGTATTTCTATCACTTTTTGGCAATTCCAAAACCACATCTATACAGTATCGGAATTAGTAATTTTTTTTCTAAAATGGAGTACCTTTACAAACTTGCAGACCTGTGCAAGAAGGCTATTCATTTGCACATTTCCTGTTTTGCCGTAACAACAAAAATGTTGTACATCAGGGCTAGCATTTTAATGCTTCACATACATCTTAATGTGAAAAATGTGAAGAGGAGAGCATCACTGCCTTCTTACCAAAGCTCGTGTTTCTCCATCATTATCCCCTAGAATCCGGTTGATGTTAATAGACTGGCCAAACTCTGTTGTGAGGAGTTTCCGTAGCCTCTGCAAGGCCCACATTCTGTGGCCAGCAGCTAAGGAAACATAAGCACACAAAGAACGTAATTACTTAAAACAATCATTTTAACTTCAAACAAATAGACTTAATTTTAAGACTACACCTACCTAAGGCACTCAGTTGAGCACAAGCTGCAAGAGAAGCTGCCAAGCGAGGAACTATACTCCTGTTGGAAGCAAAATTTAAGCGAAAATCCAACAAACACGTAACCAAATCCATTGAGGGACATGAAAGAATGCAACGATCTGAGAGAAGGTCTTTAGGGCCTGCAAGAAACAACAAGCAAAAACAACAAAAAAAAAAGGTGGGGAAGATTTGTCCTCCGACTGAAATAAGAACAGAACATAGGGAGGATTTAGCTGACCAAACACAGCAGTCTAGAGTACCAGTCTGCATCTGAGTTTGTCCATTCTACCTCCCTTTGAAGGGATTGGAAGAAAGAGGCACTTTTGTGATATAATTCACCTAATTCCGAAACAGATGCATTTAAAGGAAAAAAAAAAAAAAAAAAGAATTTCAGGTGAACTGTGCCTCAAAAGTATCCTCTCTTCACTGATGAAGAGGCAAGCTAGGGTGATTACGAAATATTTTTACCTCTTCCCTATGTACAAGTGCACCTCTCAGGACTTTGTTGAAAATGTTTCCTAAGTATGAATGAAAATGTTTTCTTAGTATGAACGTAAATGAACTATTGAACTTTGGCATGTAAATATCATGCAATAAATACAACTGTAAAAAAAACTGACAAATGAAGCTACTCTCTCGCCCTTCTGTAAACGTCATATATAATACCTTACCTGCAGCTGGCATGATAGGGTAAACAGTGAATCGCCATCCCCATCCATTCACAGAGCCATCGCTGATGAACTTCCACTTTAGTTCATCCCCTGGAATTCGCAATTCACTAGACCAATCTGACCACTCACGACCTGTTACAGTAGGTAATACGAACATATTCATCCATACTGTCTGAGCCAATGCAAGCCACTCATCAATTGCAACTTCCCTCCATGGTTATATATTATAAACATCACATAAATGGATTCAAGAAAAAGAAAAAAAGCCACGTTAAAGCACATGAACATAACTATGTTACACTAACAAAACTTGTCTTAAACAGTTCAGTTAGCACTGCTAACAGATACCCTCAGTACTTTTAACACCACATTTAAAAGACAGTTACGAGATCTTACTAAAATCCACTGTCCTATTTTCAAATTAACTTTTCATATTACAGAAATATATAACAACTTATACATTAAATTAAGCTTTACAGCTTTTTCCAACCAGGATTCCAATCAGAAATATCTCAATAATGAAACACATGCGCATCTGAAACAGTCTGGGGAAAAATGGGTCAACAGTAAAAGCCCACATCATGACTCCTCAGAAATGTTAAGCACAGGCAGTAACTACCAAGACCCTTGCACATGATATAATGTATGGGTAGGTTCAATGTAAAATTTGATGAGATTAAAAATATTCCTCTAAAATCTACTGCAAATTAATAGTGCTTAAAAATGAAATCAGAGATAATAGGACAAAAGATCTAGTGTCACATACATAAGTCAGAGTAGAAAACAGAAAGAGAGAGCCTAGATACTATTTTGGGCATTCGACAGCAGAAGAGCATTTGTCTTGACTGTATGAAAGCTCAAATTTCTGTATTACTTGAAAAAGAAAAAAAGCTAACAAAAGTAGTATCCTTTTCCAATTGTGTTCCAATTTGTTACATATACTTTGATTATACAGCAATGCACATATGTTGGCAGGGGTGCTAAACACTGATTTTTTTACACTCTAACTGCTCTTCGGAAGAGCATGACAACATGCTTTTCTGAGAGATTCTCTATATTCAAAGATGGAAGATCACTCTTATATGTCTGTGTCTAGATCCTACATCTTTTTTAGTTTAAAACGGAATATCAATTTACATAGTTTTTCCTCTTTTTTTATTGGCATGTCCCTCACAATAAATCAGTCACAGACAGTGGTACATTTCATTCAGCATTTAACAGTAAATCACACAAGACATTTTTGAAAAGCACTAGTTCTCATAACCTGATCGGACAGAAACAATTCTGTTGACACCATCCATTATGGTGAGTGGATCATGACGCCGCTCTGTAGAACACTGGCGATCAAATTCTACCCTCAGTCCCTCAGCACCTAAACAGCAACAAAGAATTTACACATTTCTACAGAGCAATCAATACCACGAACAAATGCAGTATTTTAGAAATCCACATGAGATCAAACACAGTTGTTTGGAAGCCATAGTGCTCATTAATAAAAATAACTTCCTTTGGTTTAATGACATTATTTGCCTGTAATTTCTTCTCTTTGAAAGGCTTACATCATAGCAAGCTCATGTGAGTAGGGGCTAGCAGACAGAAGACTATATTCAGAACATTCCAAACTAAAGTTGAAACAGACAAAAAATGTCTACTTACAGTTAAGGCAAATAGCTCTTTGTTGCCTGACCTTTTGGTAAGTACTAGATAACATACAGAAGGAAGCACTAAATGAAAAGGCAGCATTAAAACAAAAAAGTATTTCCCTAATGCTCAAGACTAGAAGATAGGTGTTCAATTACTGACCCTGAAAAAGACTCAGTCCTTCTCAGTTTCATAACTGAACAGAAAATGGCAATGACATATGGGTCACAGCCAGTGAACCCAAAAATGAGTATTTCACAGGATCAAGATGTTCATGCAGTATGTAAGTGTTTTAAGAAATACTTTATTATAGCAACAGGAGACATAACATGGCTTTAAAAGTTCAATACATAGTTTTGCAAGCTAGGGAAAAATTTTATGCACGCAAGCTTGAAATTAACAGAATTTTAGTAACGTAACTCTAAGAATTCTATACCTGGTATTTTAACTGTGCCACTAGAAGATGTATCATCAGTATATGGATGGCTGCTTTCTACCACAACTGGTTGCGAAGAGAGGCGACCACTTTGTGAATCAGTTGCCACATCTTCTAGTTCAGTAACACACAGCTCCAACAACATATCAGCAACCTAAGAAAAGAAAAAGATACTTTACGAAAAGGAAGTTTGATTAGACCAAGAAATCTAAGCCAGCTACGATTCTTCCCAAATTTAAAATAAATAAATAAATCACTTGTTTTCTGAATTCTGATTCATAAACCATCATATTCATTCAAAAATACTCTTTCCGGTGGTGTTAAAGCTAGAAAAACTCCTAAAACTAATAGCCAAACAACGTAAGTTTCCAGCAAGTAAATGACAACACAAGTAAGTGTTTTCTCTTACAGAAAAAACAAACTGTAAAATCTAAACTGTAAAGCACAGGCCAAGAGATTAATGAAAGGTGTAAATCTCCCGCTGTATTCAGTGTTGGTGCAACCTCACCTTGAGTACCTTGTGCAGTTCTGGACCCCACCATTTAAAAAGGATGTCAAGGTCCTTGAGTGCGTCCAGAGGAGGGCAACAAAGCTGGTGAAAGGGCTGGAAGGCATGTCCTGTGAGGAGCGGCTAAGGACTTTGGGCTTGTCTACTTTGGAGAAAAGGAGGCTGAGGGGCGACCTCATTGCTCTCTACAGCTTCCTGAGGAGGGGAAGAAAAAACATTGGACCAGGCTGCCTAGAGAGGTGGTCGATGCCCTGAGCCTGTCAGTGTTTCAGAGGCATTTGGACAATGCCCTTAACAACTGGCTTTAACTTTTGGTCAGCCCCGAATTGGTCAGGCAGTTGGACTAGATGATCGTTGTAGGTCCCTTCCAACTGAAATGGTCTATTCTATTCTATTCTAAATATTTAACCAGTATGTAATATTGCAAAACACTGTTTAGAGAGAAAATTCCGATAGTACTCATTTTTAAAGAGCAGTTTCAAATAAAAACTTTGACTCTCGAGGTAAAAAAACCCCAACAAAACAACAAAAAAACCGACCACCCACAAACACACACATAAAAAAAAACCCGACCACCCACAAACACACACATAAAAAGTTGTTCAGCTACTCACTAGAAGCAAAAAGCCTTCTAGCAAAAAACCTTTTGCTAGAAGCAAAAAAACAGAATTAATGTGTAAGTGCATACATAGTGTGCATCTAATTGGGGTGGGAGGGGGACAACTACATCTCAAACCCAGAACATGGGTGTACACTGCTGATCATTATAAAGAATTTGAAAATTGGGGGGGGGAGGAAGTAACAGTTTGAGAAATACCAGTCAATTGCCTCTACATGAATAGCATCAGTTAGGCTCTCCCACAATCCTAGTTTACTCGGACAGAGATATCGTAAGATTTCATTGTTTAAAACTGAAGCTGTCTTGTCATTTATACCATTAATAAATAAATAAAATTTCTCTCCATTCAATGCACACCCTTAGCAAAGTCATTATTCATCTTTTTGGTTAGTGAAGCTAAGTTTAATAAAAGAATACAAAAATCAGCTTTGCATAATCACTTCTGATGTTTCAAACTAATCTTTAAGCAGTGCAAAGCCATAAATGAACTACATCATGTGAGCATCTTAAAAGAAATGCATTGCTACTGATTAGAAAAAAAATATTTGAAGGGTAAAGCTAAAAGAAACATTAAGCAACTTTCACTTCATTACTGTAAGCAGATATTCTATAAATAATTTGTGGTTTGTAACATTCTTTCACATAGCTGTTGGTATCCAGTATTACAGCATTTATTAATTCTGTTTGTCAGTTGTCCCAAAAAAAACCCCACACCCATGGATACTTTGTAAATAGTTAGAAACTTCAATGCCTCAAATGTAAATCTTAAAAATTAAGAATTACTACTATATCATTAACAATATGTTAACAGCATTTTTAGCTAGCAATAATGACTGCATCAATTTGAGAAATAAACTCAGATGCAAAACAAAACCAACATGGAATTTTTTAAACTAACATTCCACAGGAAAGCTAACTAAACTAACATGCCAGGAAACTGCAGCTGAATTAAACCAAGCTCTTTCCAATAACCACAGCCACTTGGCCAATACGTAGATACAGTTCATTAAGCTTCTATTTTAATGTCTAATTGCAGCATGACAAGTCGAGGAAATAGTCTTTCACTGACATTGTAGCACATATATTCGTGTAATATTTCCATTAAAATCATTAAGGCTCACATGCATTTAAGTTCAACTCAAATTTTCATGTTTATTAAGTTTCTCAGTATGTTGAACTGCATTTGAAATACAAGAAAATATTCTAGTAAGCTACTAATAAAAAGGACATAGTTAAAATGCAACAGAAACAAAACCTGACCTGTGGGTAAGCTGTGCCCATACCAGACAGCACAGCTGAAAGAACATCTCTTCCCTTTTCACCTGCTCGGTTAGACACAGCAAGCTTTAGCAGATCAACCATGACTCGTGTGTCATCTGGTACTAAGAGACTAGTAAACTCATCCAAGTACTGCGGTTCTGGGCCAGATACTTTACTTTGACTTTCTACGTCCTACAAAACAAATTGCAGAAATATTTAGACAGTGAAGATGAAAGAAGTATTTCACTGAATTCGAACAAGTTAACTTGTCTGAAGAAGTTTAAAGGTAGTTTAAAACACAATTCGTAAATCTGGGATTATATGGCCCCCAAATTAACTGACTGTTAAACTCATTTCTCAAGTGAAAAAGCTTTCTTAAAACTAACCTCCTTTAACTTCGGACAAAAAAAACCCAAACAAACAAAAAAACCCCCTCACAACCCTCTGTCTTTGGATAGATTTTAAAAAACGCAGTCATTTATAGAATAACTTTAAAAGCACTAAAAAAGCAAAACTGCTTGATAAAAGCACGTAAGGACTTAAGTTTTAAGGAAGATATTGACAACATTACTTCTTTGGTTTTTGTCATGGTTTCTGCAATGATACTGGCAGCTCCAGGATCATCTGTGACTGGAATGAAAGGACGGGAAGAGGCAGCAGCAGCTGAGGGAGTTACAGCAGACGGTGTCACAGCATCTTCTGAAGAAACAACCTAGACAAAACAAATAATAACTAACAAAAGGTGCAACAAGATACTGTAAAACCTTCAAGAGTCTAATTATTTATTAGAAGGGCTTACGTTCAAAGACAGTAGCAATTTAAAAACAGCCATAAATTCAAACCCAACAGATTCGCCCCCTGTATTTTTAGCTATTTTATGTTCCTAGCATGGCAAACCAGCCAACACCCCCCTCAACGCCAGTTGCTACAAAAACATACAATAAAACATCAGTGCCTGCAGAAAAGTCTACAATGTTGAAAACAAGCCCTAACAATACATGTCAAATTAACAGTTTGTTAAAGAAAAAGATCTCTTCAGTAGCAAACCTTTTATTTTTCCTGCTTCTGTTAGCAGCTGGGAATCAACAGAGTAGAATTCCATTCAGGCCCTCCTGTCTACATTAGTTGATAAAAGTTTACAATTACATTTCATTACATAATTGTCAAATATTCCCTTAGTCTTGACCTTTTTTTTTTTCTTTTTTTTTTTTCTTTTTTTTTTTTTCTTTTTTTTTTTTTCTTTTTTTTTTTTTCTTTTTTTTTTTTTAAAAAAAGATCACTCCTGTAAAATGAATTTACTATCTGGTCAAATGGTTAATATTTTCATGTTAACGCTAAACTACTAGAAATCATCACAATTGCATTTAAATGACACAGTGCATTCTGAACGTGCGAAACTGATTTCACACTAAAATTTTAGTTTTTCCAAATCTGACATACACAGAGTATCCACTCCTGAAATTAGAGCATGAAAGAACTGTTCAATCTCTGCTATTATCAAACTAAATAGGACAATATTTTTCAGCTTTACTATTAAACACTGTTGGAAAAATTCATCTGACACCTTACCTCCCCTCTCCTGTCCTGCCATGGGTTTGGGCTCAGCCTCTCTTCTATATCTCCTACAAGCATGCATTCATCTCCATTTGCAGGGCTTCCTGTTGAAGTAGCATCTGATGGGGGGGCTGGCGATGAAGAGGGACATTCTACTGGTGCAATCATACTTGCAGGCATCAATGCTCCAACAACTGCATCCCTGAAATCATTTAGGACAGATTAACATAAACCTAATTATACTCCCTTGTTGAACTTAATAAAAATGATATTAGCTTGCCTTAATAAAATAAGGAAAGGTTTCCAAGCTCTGGAATTCAGAGAGTAGTTTACCTCCATCCTCCTTTGGGCCTGATGCTTAAATACAGTGTTTTAAGGCAACTATTTTACATGAGTTCCTCTTCATAAATTTTAGCACAAATACTCTGTTCTCTACCAACAACAAGGAGGGCACCGTAAAGCTTTATTGTTCTTTCCACCCTGCCCCACACTGCTTCCTCCACATCAACTGTCATGATTTACTTACACTCCTTTTACATGATTTACTTGAGCATTCCTAAACAATTTTTTCCCCAGGCACTGGGAGCTTCTGTAAAGAAAACCTAACAGCATAAAGCTAACATCAACATCAAAAGAAAATTTAAATGAAGCTTAGACCTATCCTGAGGAGTCCAAACTTGTGAAACAATTTATAGCTGACTCAAGAGACCCTAATAGACGGTAAGCTATGTCATCTTTTGCTCTGCAAAAGACAAGAATATTTGCATGCCTACCTGGCATACATGATTTGTAATGCCATCAGTATATGAGATAATGCCTGCTGTTTGCCAACATTCCCATCAAGCGACAGGAGAATCTTAGCGAGGGAAGGGCGATTCGGCTTGGAACTGTTTGCCCCACTAATTTTGTTACTGGCAGCAGAAGAATCTGCATCTGAAGGAACACCTGGAGTGAGGGGGGAAAAAAGAGAAGGCAAGCATTTTTAACGGTGTACAACATAACTGGAATGGATTTATCTAACTTCTTGCTAAGTCAGAAAGATGAATGTAAAACTAACTCTACAGTAGATTCTTAAACTGCAGTGCCTACAGTTACAACATTAAAGTCAATACTTAAGCTCTGCAGCAAGGGCTTTCGTAAAATAGTCTTCCACCTTATTACTTACTCATGAAGATTAAGGTAATACAGATATAAGTATTTTGGTGATCAGCACCTAAAACAAGTTTTACTTACACAGCAATTTCTCAAATAGCAAAAATATTTATTAGGTACTCTTAAAAATATTAATCAAATATTCTATAGATGTAGTTCTTGCTCTTTTTTAAATACATTGCCTCGTTCATGAAGAAGTTTAATTAGCAAAATGTTTGGTGTTTTTATATTCCAACGCAAAACATTGCTCTTTTGCCTCCCTAATTCTTAAGTCACCTACCTTAGAAACAAAAGGTAACAGCAGCATTAAGAATTATAGCAAGAGGTAACACGTAAGATGACCAATATTACAGTAGCATCCATCTACCATTACCTCCATAAAGCTCTATCCCATATTAAAGACAAAGTCCTTGGGGCATTTGATAAAGCACATTGCATTTTAATTTCCTGAAGAACAACAAAAGTTCCAACTAATGCTACTTCTGAACAAGTCCTTTACAACTTCCACTTTCAGGAAGCGGTTTTGTTGGGCTTTTTTTAAGAGGTGTGTATGGTTGGTTTGGGGTTTTTTGTGGTGTTTTTTTAAGAGACAGTTTTCTTTTTGCACTCTTCTATCACCTATTAAACCACACACACAACTAACTCTCCAATGGCATAAAAAAAAAAAACAGTGTAAGGCAATAAATACCAACCAAGATAAGAAGCACCTAAAGGGTCCCTCGCTGTCTGGAAAAGTACTGGTTCATGAACAGATGGTGTAGCTACATCCACTGTTGTCCATGCTACACTGTGGGAAGACCCACAAGCAACCCGGGTGATTTTCTGGCCTTCCAAGCCCTGGACAAGGGTGGGCTTTCTATTGACTGTAGTAGTTCCATTGCCTTGTTGCCCATGGTCATTGTCACCCCAAGCGTAAACCTGCCAGTAAACATTTCCACATATTACTTTGCTTCACTGTTTGCCTCATTTAATTGTTTTCTTAAAAATTCCTACAGAGGAATATTAGTTATTTGTATTATTAATCTAGGACACTTCAGAGAACCTACTGCTGTGACTTCCCACACTTACACATTAAATAATGTAGGCATTATCATACATTAAAAGAAAAAAGAAAAAAAAAATCAAAGCAGCACTTTATCAGATGATTCATAAATTATTGCCAATTCATAAATCATCAGTTGATTCATAAATTATTCAATGTTCACAGTGAACAGTAAGTTAGAAGAATTAGCTGCATAGTAATTACATTGGGGATCTGAATCAATACTATGATAATGCTGGGTCACAGCAGAAAAAGCTATCCAGAATACTATGATTGCTTCTGTATTTCAAGAGTGAGAAGCAGGAAACTGATCATGCAGATAATACATAAACTAGGAAAATATTACAAAAGCTACTATGACAACAACATTTAAAGTCCAGTAAAAATTTAAAAGCGAAAGCTAATCTATTTTAAGTTACAATCATGCTTATATTTATTCAAGACTTCAAAAAGCAAATAAATATCATTAGCAATTTTTATTCCATTTAATCAGCATCGATGCTATTACACTCTTCTTCCTCAACAGTTTAGTTTATTCCTGTCTAGATCAAGGGAAAAGGGGAAAGGAGGATGATGCACAACATACCTGCCCAGTGTCAGTAACCGCTAGACAATGGAGTGCACCTACAGCCACGTGCACAATCTTTTTACCCCTCAGTCCTTCCACAACTTGTGGCTTTCGTACATGTACATCTGTGCCATGGCCTAGCCTGAAGTAGTCGCCCTTACCCCTGCAACAGAAAGTAAACATAAAATTCAAGACAATTATATTGTTTACACATTCCTCTGTCAACGCAGCTTCCTGAACCAAAAGACTTCATTTATCACTGAGATTAAACACAAGCACCAACTAGCAAATTCTTCAAATCTGAATTATAAAGGCCTAAAAATGAGGATGACTGTAGTTCTGTGACTCCGTAACTTTTCACCTCAGTATAGAACAGGCATCATTTACGACTATTTTTTGTACATAGTGCAACTGTGATTACGTTGAATTCCCTCTGTTGCTGAAACACTGCAATTATAAATACCTACAAAAATTGATGTGTTTCAATAGACTTGGACAGACTTATACTACTGAGGATAAACCTAACAATAACAGACCCTTTGACAAGTATACTCACATGAAAAAATATACAGGAACTAACGTGTTTTCAGAACTGAGTTTTTTCACACTGTTGCAAGCCTCAATACAGGTTCTCAAGCCTCCATAGTTTAAATTGTTCTAAAACTGTTATACACAAACTGCACTAAAAATATACCATACGCAAAAGTAATGTAAACACCTTAAAATGCCTCTAAGAATGTCAGTAAAGAAGAAAAAAAACTCCTGAGATCTCTTCCACTGTGTTTTCAGTAACCATTCACTCAGTTCTGCTGCTCACCACCGCCAACACCAATTTTTCCTCAAGAAAGGTTATGTTATGCTGGAGGTGAATGTGATATATAGTACTATTGCCTACCTACACAGAAGTTGTGATTTTTCCCTCAAATCAGTACAAATTCAAGAAGATGAGAATAAAAGTTTAGAAGCAACTCAGCCATCCTAAAGTGCAGACATGCACAGCTAAAACAGACCCAAAAAATCTCCTTGTAGTGCTGTAATGTCATGAAATAGCTCTAGGTTTTATGACTAGATGGAACAGCGTTAAGACAAACTGGGGGAAGGAAGGAACAAACAAGAATTTTGCAGAGTTCTTCCAGACTGCCAAATTACCTTTCCTCTTACTCCTTTCGTCACTACAAAAAAAAAAAAAAAAAAAAAAAAAAAAAAAAAAAAAAAAAAAAAAAAAAAAAAAAAAAAAAAAAAAAAAAAAAAAAAAAAAAAAAAAAAAAAAAAAAAAAAAAAAAAAAAAAAAAAAAAAAAAAAAAAAAAAAAAAAAAAAAAAAAAAAAAAAAAAAAAAAAAAAAAAAAAAAAAAAAAAAAAAAAAAAAAAAAAAAAAAAAAATTAAAAGTGGGGTTAAAAGTGGGGGGAAAGTGAGAGAGACAAATAGTTTCCAGTGGCCACTCTAAGAAACATCATCTCTGCTAAAAGCTTTTCTCCCTTTTAAAAATAGAAGTAACTTATAAAAACAGAAGTTTTGTGGATTTCTCTTCATATCATTCATCAATTGCTGACAAATAATAAAACAAAAATTACTATTTTAAGTCTTCTTAGCTTTGACGTACATCAAACAGGTCATAGTCTTATTACACAAGGACGGGGTAAGACCTTGATCTGGTTAGAGCTCTGAAGTTGATCTGCCATACAGTAAGCTCTCAAATTTTACAGAAAGGTTTATAAATTCAAAAAGCCAGGTTTGTGTTCAAAACAAAGCAGAAGCAAGCAGACAAACAGAAGAAAAATAAAAAGAGTTTCTGAATAACTCGGTGATCATCTCATACCAGTTCTTGCTTTGAGGCATCATTATTGACAACTCAGTGGCCTTCTAAGCAGCAATGAGCTCTGCAGAGACCCTGTGTTTCCAAGGAGGTCTGGAAACTCTTCCCATCTCCTCTGAACTTTAGCTTACTTCCTCACTCTACTACATTCCTTACTCTCTCAGTCTCTGCTTTAGCTGCAGTCTACATACTCCAAACTACGATCCTCTTTTTCCCACTCCACTCCGAAGTCTTGAACTAACATTCCTTTACACATTCCATTGCTCCCAAGAGAGGGAATGATCCTCCCCTTCCTCCACTAGTTCAGTAAGACCCAGGCATCCTAACAGAGTACAATACACAACTGAGCATGCGACAAAACACAGTGTTAGAGTAACTGAACAGATCGCAGCTTGTCTTGAAGAGCTGCCGATTTAAAAGACAAGGCACACAGATAAGGCACAGATGGAGTTAAGACAGTCAAATGGCAATAAATACAACACATACTTAGCAATTGCTTTGTTAATGTTTTCTGGCAAATGTAACATACCATGTCCATACCACTCCTGACTTGGTCAGTGCCAATGAGAACTGTGCACCACACTCAATCTGACAAACGCCTTGGCCGTTCAGTCTTTCAATGTTCTGAGGAATGTTGCATCCTTCACTTCCTCCTCGGCCCAGTTTTCCAAAATCGCCATCACCCCAAGAAAATACCAAACCTAACAAACACCAAACTGCAGGTCAAACAATGATCACAGTATTCCCACGTGCTAGAAATCTTCTGGAAAAGGATATTCCTACCTTCATCTGTCAAAGCAAGAGTCTGAGCATCTCTGCTTCCACAAGCAACCTGAATGACTCTGTAGCCAAGGAGCACTTTAACCTACAAAACAGAAAAAGTAAGCGAGACATTTCAAAGAAATTATGTTTTAAAACCTTACGGACATTTTCAAGCTCTTACAACTATCTTGTTCATTGCGCCCAGCCTGAGCATGCCATTTAGCAAAGGATTATCAAGCCTTGCTCACGCAGGATCCAACATCACTCAATGACCGCAGTAGCTTCCAGCTATGTATCAAAGTAGATGCAGGACATGAAAGTTCAAAACAGCACTGGCCATTCCCCATCACTTCCCAAGAAAAAGAAAGAGACTGGATTTTTTTGGCCTTTCTGAAATAGCTTGCCTGTTATTAGAGGTATGTGTACCAAAACCTAATTTAGATCACTCGAAAATGATGTCTTCATACTGTTTTCATGGTTTTTGGCTTTACTTTAGCTTTATTTTATCATTGATTAAACAAACACATTCACATTTCATCAGAGACAAGAAATGTTTATTTTACCATCTTAGGCTTCAGCTGTGTGGTATTATCTCCATGTCCTAGCCTTCCATATTCTCCAAGACCCCATGTATACAGTTCACCACTAGAGGTAATGGCAGCACTGTGGGAACTGCCACAAGCAATATCACGGATGCGTTTGGTTTTCAACGCTTCTATCAATCTGGGTTTATCACAGTTCCTAGAGAAAATGAGTAAAGAATTAATTGTGTTAATTATGGAAGAGTTGCACAATATACTCCAACCTCCATAATCCAAAAAATTTTGTGTAATAACTAACAGTAACCTAAAGATAAAAGAAGATGCAACATTATGATTCCAAGACGTACTCTTCAGTAGCACCATAAATCTAAAGTTTACACTATGTTAATGTACTTCAAAGTTTATTTAAAGAAATATTTTATGTATACGCTGCAAAACTTAGGTGACAAAGCCAAAATACTAAAGTGATGGATCAATTAAAAAGGATATAATATAAAGTGAAAACTGATATCCTGTCATTGCCCAAAGTTGAGCGATTTGTTAGAAGTAATTATATCTCCACCCTGTGGACACAGAGCCAGATAGTAAGATTAAGAGATGACACTCCCATCCCAACTTTGCTTTTATGGGAGAGAAATTAGAACTGGAATTTACTGTTAGGCTTCTATGAGAGTACTGGAAACTTTTACTGTTCATATGATTAGAATATTCCCTAAATTCAGGGAAGAGTTTCAACTCAGGGTTTTCTAATATTGACTGTGTATCAGAGCCACACTACTAATTTTATAAAATTATGCATGGCCCCTGGAAAATTTGCTCCCATGAAATGCCCAAGAGTTCCAAGTCTCACTTCTAATAAAATTACAGAAAACATGAGGCAGTTGAACAATAAACAACAATACTGCTCTAATCTGGACTTCCCTTTTCATTGATCTGACACACATACCCCTATGAACATTTACTTGTTGTCATATATTAACCATCTGTAAAATTATGCATGGCCCCTGGAAAATTTGCTCCCATGAAATGCCCAAGAGTTCCAAGTCTCACTTCTAATAAAATTACAGAAAACATGAGGCAGTTGAACAATAAACAACAATACTGCTCTAATCTGGACTTCCCTTTTCATTGATCTGACACACATACCCCTATGAACATTTACTTGTTGTCATATATTAACCATCTGAGTCGGGCACTGTAATTTTTTATGTATTCTGAGCAGGTCTTCAAATTATATCAGTATGACAAACAAAGATTTCCCCATGGGCTATGTTTATAGGGTTTTTTTCTTCTTTCAAAACATTGTTCTGTGGTGCGTACAAAGAAAAATCCTGAGACAATTCAAATTTTCCTCAAAGCTGTCCTGTGAAAGATTAAACTATGTATTACTGAAAAGTGTAGGAAATTCATTTCTGGCTAACAAGTTTGTGAACAGAAGTCTAAAGAAAAGAGCTACAAAATACTCTGTCAGGCTTACATGATGAACTGTTACAGCTCAGGAACGTAAAACTGCTATGGTTTTACACCTCAAGGCACCTCTGTAAACCTTACCTTATAAAAGTAACCAAAAACTCTATATCCAGAAGTGTTCCATTTCATCAGTGACATTCAAAAACACTATTAAAGACTTTATCCACTAAGTATGTTTCCAATTATTATATTAATTAAATGCCTCCTTTTTAAATGACTGAAGACCGCTACAAATGCTGCACCGTAAATTGACATACACTGTTAAAAAAATCTTTTCACAAGACAATTTTTTATTGCCATTGCATTAAAAATCCTGTCATTGTCAATAGCGGTGGTCAGCTGTATTGTAACATCCAACACAAATGTTCTCTTACTAAAATACAGACAAATTTGGTATCCTTACATTCGACTGAAGTGACCAAGTTTTCCATCATCTCCTTCACCCCATGAAAATACTTTTCCATCAACAGTTAATGCCATAGCATGCCGGCCACCTAAAAGTGTAAACAGAAATTTAAATTTTCAAGCTTTCAAGCAGGCAGCAGACCTAGCAAAAATCTCAGAAATTTCACACTGCTGTACTTCTACAATGCAATTGTAAGAGCCTTTCAACCCAATACACATTACTTATTTTCTTCGAAGTTTTTATGTGATTTAATTTAAAACACAAAACTTTTCTGGGAGTAGGTTTCCTGGCACATTAAAAAAAAAAAAAAAAAAAAAATCACTCAATTTGCTATTTTCAATGATGTCAGAAAACACAAAATCAAACCCACCACTTAGCAATATTCAAAAATGAAAACGCTTCCTTTGGATCAGACTGAAAAACTATTCAGAAGTTAACAAATTTAACTTCCAGCGAGAAAGAAACTGTGTATGGTCTAAATCATAGACTTTAACAACAGAACCATTAGACTTAATCTGACAGTTTATGCAACAGGCAGAATTTAATAACCTGTATTTATTTTAAAAAAATGTAAAAAATATCAGATATGCTGGGGCATCACAGCACCCAAGAAAATTGCAAAGCAACTATTTTCAGGCTTAATATGTTTGTTTATGTATGTAAGAATAGCAATAGTCAGTACCTGAGTGAACAGCCACCTTCTTTACCACATAGTTACTGAGAGCTGTAATCTGGCGGGGAATAGGCACAGTTCCACTAGATATTCCTAAACCCAGCCTTCCATTTGTAGCTTCTCCACAGGCATATACTTTACCCTCTACAGTCACTAAAATGAAGAAAAAAGTTTGAAACACCATGAATGTTTCATAACTGGAAATCTGTTTCTGCCCTTAAATAATTACATTTATTTTAAACTTATATTACCTGCAAAAAGGCTTTTGGATCCTCCAGCTACTTGTACAACATTCAAGGCAGATAGGGTTTCAGAAAAGGAAGGGACCTTTATCTAGAGCAGACAGGAAATAAAGATCATTAAAATACACTTCAAAGTTTTATACTTTAAAAAGAAGAGCTAGTCTGAAGTGATAAACCAGTTAATCTAACAGGTACTTTTTTTTTTTTCAAATATATGAAACTCCCCGTATTATTCAGACACTTCACACATACCAGTTAATATACACCAGGCAAAAGACAGAAACCAAGAAAAAGCATTTAATAGGGAAACCATGATAAGTACAAAACCTGAGAAAAAATGAAATGTGATATAAACAAGGATTTTCCTTTCATTAAAGTTTTCATGAGAAAACCAAGCTCAATTTTGAAGAAAGTCAAACCAGCAAAATAAACCTAGTTAAAAGTGTTAACCAACACACTTCAAATCAGCATACAGGAACACAAAACCACAACTGAGTTTTTCAGTAGCAAAATGCTTTAACAGGCTGGATTAGACGTCAACTCCAGGCAGCGGCAGGGCGGGGGGGGGGGGGGGGGGAGGGGGGGCAACAGGGGGGTGGTTTCTGCCTTTGAAAGGCTTGGCGTGGTGCAGGCGGAGATATTTATTTTTATGTAGCTAAAGAGACTTCTTCATTACAGTATATGGGAAAAAAGTTTGAAGGACATTTGGAAAGCCTTAAATTAGTTATTAAATTAGTATCCTAATTAATCAATTTATACATTTAATAACATTAATACCTGTTAAGACCTCACAAGATAAAGTGTGTAAGTTCACGTCAGCATTTTTTTTTTCCACTCAAAAAAGTTTCATCTTTACAGAATTAGTTCATATTTATAGAGGTATCTGATTTTTTTATCCCCTCGCTTCTTCCATTTAACTGTCCTTTTCTAGGTGGGGGGGGAAGCACTTCAGTCAAACAGAGCCATAATTCTGCCTTCAACATGTTTGGAGCAAGAATTAACTGAAATCTGCACTTCTGCACTGAAGCCTCGATGGCTTTATGCACCAATAAAATGTAACCAGTAATGGTTAACTTTTTGTTTCTTGAAAGGCACTCTACGGATACAATAGTATACGTTTTATTTACAACATTAAAGAAATGCTCTCTTAACATACTTTTCAAATTAATGATATCTTAAATTGATTAAACATTTGCTATGTCTCTCCCACCTTGCATTGTATTAAAAATTATGTATAAATGGCTGCACACAGGGCTGAAATTCCTCTTAATTACACTGAATTGTAATCAAGTTACACCAATCTAAAGATCAGAATTCAACTTTTTTTTTTTCTGATTACTGCATCAGCTCCAGGTAAAAGTAATACATAAAAAAGTTCACCAGTATCTTCATCTCACGCATGCGAACTCAAAAGGAACAGAATACATATAGAGTGCTACACATTTTTAGAACCACTAGTTCATTATCATCTAAAACAAATGATTAAGTGTCTGCTAAAAATCAAACTGGATTTCAGAGTAACAACCAAAATGCAAATTTTCTCCAATTTTCCACCCAGCAAACATCTACATGTCTTAACAGTAAAAAGCCATTAAAACCTACTCTTTGTAGCTTTTGGTAATAAACTTCAAAATTCTGATTAAATTTGAATTAATTTTGAGTTGTGTGAGACTTGTACATTTTATTTTTAGCTGTGTCTGTTTTGTATTAAAGCATGAAAACAACAAACATACCTTGGAACCTTTTAGCCCTCCCAATTGGTCTTTGTCATTCAGTCCCCAAACAAAAACTTTGGTTCTTATTGTAGCTGCTGATTCGAGCCCAGCTGCCTTCTTTCTAACAAGGCTGAACATATTGAGAAAAAAACACAAAGTTAGTTTAGAAAACGGCATGCTATAGCATAGGCACCTTTTTACTGTATTTACTGATTTTACAGTTTGGAGCAGTTTCAGTACTTAAACTACACCACCACAGTTAAGGGGTGGCTATAACAAATAAAACAAAACAAAAAAAACCCAGAATGTTTTGCTGAGCAGTGGTAAATAGCCACATACCAAATATAAACGTATCAAGTTTTTAGCTAGGTTTTCAACTCCAAGTATACTGCAGAAGCAGAACAGTTGTACAAAATGTTACCACCTTACCAGTGTGATAATCTTAAAGAAGTTATTTATCAACAAATGACCTACTTACAATTCTGACAAACTAAGATACTGCTTTCTCTTTACTACCATTCAACCTAATTAAGTTGCTCTTCTTACAGTAATCTCCTGATTGGAATATATAGACACTAAGGTTCGTTATCATTTCCCCCCCTGCCCCTGCAGCTGCCTACCTCCCGGTGTTAGCTTTATCGTCATCCTCTTCCTCATTATCAGAAGCAAGGAAAGGGACTGCAGCCAAATCTTCATCCTCTGCACGTATACGTCCCAGTATGCTGAGGCCATGTATTTTGCAATCAATCCCAGAGCTTCTACACTGCTTGATTGCAATCTCAATATACCTGTGGTACTAAGAAGAAAAAACTAAATTGCCATCTTTTGGGTCCTATATAACTTTATAAAACATAGGAAAGAATTAGAACTTTTGTTTGACTTTGTCACCTTAACAAAATGAATCTGTAACATTAAATATCTGGCTTTTCAGCCCGACATAATCCATACTTTAAGATAAACACATGGCCTCATTAATTTGAGAATGATTTCACTTCCAATCTTCTAAAAATTCATTATGCATTCCTCCTTGCTGTTACTGAAAAAGATCAGACTACTATTCAAAATAAGCTTTATCACCCACCAAAATTATCCCCAAATTTAAGTTTATTGGGATGCCTTCTTGGTTCATAGGTATATTGATTTACACCAAAAAAACTAAAATATCTTTACTACTAAGGCTATTATAGAGTTACACTGTGATTATGGTAAAACTTATCAGGTTAATTAACTTTACTAAACTGCCAGAAATAGTGCTAATTTAGAGGAAAAGTAAAATACCATGCTTTAATAATCACAACAGTGCTTTTCATCCATCTCTTGCAGCAAAATATTTTTCTGGTGCATACAAGAGTAATTCTCACACAAACTTCACTTACTTCTGTACAATCACTGAGAAGAGGCACTGTGGTGTCTGTAGGATTTATATTGATTGTCTTTAGCTCTATAAGGTTATTTAAGGAATTCCCCCCTAGAAAACAAAACATGGAAAGAAAAACATTTTAAGATACAGTGTTTGTTTCATAAACAGGCACTATGCATGTAAAACAGATGACTGTTAACGGAACCAGACAAATACCTACTGTTGAATGTACAAAAAAACCCCAACCAACCAACAAATACATTTCAGATTTCTCAGAGAACATACACATACCTGAAACTACAACAACACCAAAAAAACTATAATATCTTTACTACTAAGGCTATTATAGAGTTACACTGTGATTATGGTAAAACTTATCAGGTTAATTAACTTTACTAAACTGCCAGAAATAGTGCTAATTTAGAGGAAAAGTAAAATACCATGCTTTAATAATCACAACAGTGCTTTTCATCCATCTCTTGCAGCAAAATATTTTTCTGGTGCATACAAGAGTAATTCTCACACAAACTTCACTTACTTCTGTACAATCACTGAGAAGAGGCACTGTGGTGTCTGTAGGATTTATATTGATTGTCTTTAGCTCTATAAGGTTATTTAAGGAATTCCCCCCTAGAAAACAAAACATGGAAAGAAAAACATTTTAAGATACAGTGTTTGTTTCATAAACAGGCACTATGCATGTAAAACAGATGACTGTTAACGGAACCAGACAAATACCTACTGTTGAATGTACAAAAAAACCCCAACCAACCAACAAATACATTTCAGATTTCTCAGAGAACATACACATACCTGAAACTACAACTAAAGAGGGCATGTAACTGCTGTCTGCAGGGTCTACTATCATCTTTAGTCTGTGAACAAGAACATCTGGAAAAATCTCCAAGCGAATCCAGTGCTAGGGGAAACACATAGAAATTCATTTTCAGATAGTATTGTTAGGACCATCGTATGGTTAACAAGAATAAACGTGTGCTGGTTTTGAAGAAAGTATGAAAAACATTTGTGAATGGTACACAACAGCTGCAATGCATGGGAACTGGCCAAAGGAAAATGACTTTGTGAACTTCTCGCCTGTCCAGCCTCCAAATACAAGAGAAACAGTTGCAGCAAATTATTTATTTCACCCAAGAGCAACACCATTGAGAAGGCTGAGAAAGCACAATACCATTGGAGGTCAAGAAATGGAACGTAATGTAAATCTTTGACTGGTTACAGTCTGTAGATAACCGAAGGAAGGGTACTTGGAGATATTCTCACCATGATGCTCAACAGAGCATCAAAACACAGTGGACAGAAGCCTAGCAAATCCCGGTGCCTAGGCTGGCCACAGAGCAGTGCTGCAGGCCAATAAAACTGGTAAACCATAAACTAAGGAACAATGCTTATATGTTTTTATAAATGATCTGGACACGGGAGTCGAACGTACATTAAGCAAGTTTGCTGATGACACTAAACTAGGACGAGCTGTGGACTCTCTGAAGGGTAGAGAGTCCTTACAGAGAGATCTGGATAGACTAGAGAGCTGGGCAATCACCAACCTTATGAAATTTAAGAGCAAGTGCCGGGTTCTCCACCTGGGACAAGGTAATCCTGCTTACACATACAAACTGTAGGACGAGGGGCTGCAGAGCAGCCCCACGGAAAGAGATCTGGGTGTTTGGGTTGATGGGAAGTTGAATATAAGTCAACAGTGTGCCTTGGCAGCCAAAAGGGCCAACCATCTCCTGGGGTGCGTCAAGCACAGCATAGCTAGCCAGTTGAGGGAGGCGATTGTCCCACTCTACACTGCACTGGTGCAGCCCCACCTTGAGCACTGTGCAGTTTTGGGCGCCTCAATATAAGAAGGACATCAAACTATTAGTGTGTCCAGAGGAGGGCAACCAAGGTGGTGAAAGGCCTTGAGGGCAAAACTTATGAGGTCACTTGGTTTGTTCAGCTTAGAGAAGAGAAGGCTGAGGGAAGACCTCATCGCTGTCTACAACTTCCTCAAGAGGGGCAGCAGAGGGGGAGGTGCTGATCTCCTCTCTCTGGTGACCAGTGATAGGACATGAGGAAATGGAATGAAGCTGCATCAGGGGAAGTTCAGATTGGACATTAGGAAAAGGTTCTTCACTGAGAGGGTGGCCGGTCACTGGAACAGGCTCCCCAGGGAAGTGGTCATGGCACCAAGCCTGTCAGAGTTCAAGGAGCATCTGGATGACGCTCTTAGTCATATGGTTTAGTTTTAGGCAGTCCCGCAAGGAGCACGGAGTTGGACTCGATGATCCTTATGGGTCCCTTCCAACTCGAGATACTCTATGATTCTATGCAAGTGAGGGAGTGCTTGGAGACAGTTTTAGCTAGTGAGAGCATAGGTGCTTTTTGTATTGCAACAAATTCACTTAAGTAAAATATAATCAGTGTGATTGTTAAGAACAATTGTCATCAGTTATTACACTGAAAAGGCAATTGTAACCATATAACCAACTACAGAATAGAATAATTACCCTGTATTTCAAAAATCACACAAGTTCTTATAACTCACATGAAATAATTAGAAAGATGAAGCACAGCTTTAAAAAAAATAGGCACATTTACTATGAAGAAACAGTTTTGTACTTCAGACATCTGTTTTTACTACTCTTCTATCTTACATGAAGGTAACAAAAAAATATATTTCATTAAGGTAAATACTTACCCTCTTAAGAAGAAAGCATGCCAGAATAAACCAGTTATGGCTTAAAGTTACCTTTCCTTGTGAGCCAGAAGACTGCCAGCACTGCTCACTACCATCAATAAGACGTGAAGCCTGATTCACGGAGGATGAGACATTCAAATTCTTAACTATTCTTGACCAATCATCCAGTAACATTCCCCGCTGGCTACTATGCCGTCTCTTCAGCTGCTTTCCAGAACGCCCACAAAACACCGGAGACTGACCTGCATGGTTAAGTGAAACACTAAGCATGTACCTCTCAAAGAAAATTGCTTTTATTAAACTCACAAACAATGTGAAAGGAAACATAACAAATCAAAATATTTCAGGTATGTAGTCTAAAAGTAGAATACAGAAGCATGGCACATAGGTACGGTAATACTACTCACGCTTAAAGGGCATAGCTCAAGATTTATTTTTTTTAAAGCAGTTTCAAGCACTTTACCTGACTACAAGTTTTCATGCCTGTCATTTGGGATAGTCACACTTTCTATTCTTACACTTACGATTTATTTGTACCAAGAAACCAAGCACAATTTAGTAAAAAACAAACATTAAAAAATTAAGGAAAATTACTCTCTTCAGGAATGTAAGACACTAAGAGTAATTCCTAAAATTGAATGACAAAACATTACAGGGGCATGCAATGTTTAAACTGACAGAATCCTTTAAAGACTAACATTCTTGACTAAATAGCCACTTGAAAGGGCCCTTCCTTTTGAAATACAAATCAAAATTTATTATGATACACACTTCAAAATACAGGCCCACAGCACATGAATTTTGTACACCACCACAGCATATGAAAAATACGCAACCAACCCTCAACAGAAATCCCTTACAGGAGAATAGACGCAGCTAATTTACAACACTCAAAAGTTCTGAATCTCGTTCAAGAATGAGGTGGTTTAGTGAGTTGTTGATTTCCTCCCTGCAAAAACCCACTTCTACTTCCCTTCACTGATCTCTGTAGCTTCTAGAAAGCCTGACTAAAAGAATATTGTAACTCCTCTACCCTATCCAGGGCAACGAGAAGGATTACAGATTCACACCATGCTAGCTGTACAACCATATTAACTGATTTAATGGAAAGTCTTTCTTGCCCTTTAGACAAACCATCACACACATGCAATGCATGCTCATGATTTCTAGCAGGGAATCAGTTTTATTAATTTTCTAAACCGATTAGACTGGCTACGTGCAAATATGAAGAGGTTTAGTCCAGAAGCCAGCATCACCTTGCAAATACTAGTAATCAGGCTCATTTTTAGACAGGTGGAGAGAAAAGAAATAAAAGCTTGTGTCAGGTAAGTTTTGCATAATAATGTAAAATGCCAAAATTTTAGAGTTAAAATGGCTGCACCTGTTCTTGCCCTAGAAACAAAAAATTCTGATTGTGAGTCTTTCAAAAGGCTTCCCTTTCCTACCACACCCCTCTGGAGTCTCCACATCATCGAGGAAATGAGGCAACAGCCATCACACACTGATAGGCAAAACTGTTGAAGAGCAACTGAGGTGTAAGAAGGCATCTTAGGTATTTCAAGCTGCACCTACTGTCATGAGGATTCCATTCACCTACATTTAGCCTGATAGCAAAAGGCAGGAGGATTAAAGAATTATATGTTTTACTCTTGGTGTAGCTGAAAACTCAGTTTGGACATAAAGAGTTACTGTCAAGTAGCCATATTTTTTAAACTTTTTTAACACTACAAAGAAAGATTAAGGGTTGATGTTTTGGTGTAGTCCACCACATGCAATTGTAGCAGTGCTATGATCTGCTAAAAATGTTTTGCTGTCTAGAGGGTCAGTCCGAACACTAATTTTTCATTATGTTAAGGAGACAAAATTTAAAACTGTTTTTTTAAAAACAAATTCAATGCATTTTAAATTAATCTAAGAAACATTTAAGATTCTGAAACTTACCTGGTTCATTTATTCTGCCAAAAGTATGTCGGGTGTTATGCTTCCTGGTTTTAAAACAGGTTTCACAGAAATCAAAATCATCACAGTTTCTGCATTTGAATCTAGGCCCATTGATAGGAAACATCTGACAGCCATCACACCTGATTTCACAAAAGAACAATGAGTAAATATATTTCTAGCAGTTTTCACGGCACAAGTTAATCGTAACACCAGTCAAGATAATGGAATCAAGACAATAAGGCTAAAGGATAACCCATATACATTAAGAAAAACGTAAATCATCACTTACGTGACTCCAGGATGAATGCTGGGGACCAGTTCCATTTCCGACAATAAGCCAGTCCAATGAGACTGCTGAGGAAAGTCTACAATGACATCTTTTCCATTGGCACTAAAAGCTGTGACAAAAACATGCAGAAAATACAATGTGCTGCAAATCTCTATAAAATGAAGCAGAAAGTGTCCAGTGCAACATCAGAGCAGAAACATGTAATAGAAGTAGCTTTCAAAAGTAATCTTTTATTTTAGTGGAACTATGTATTAACCTAATCAGATAGCCTGGAAAGGGGCAGAGGGAAAGGGAGTTCTGAAGACTTTTAAAAAGATATATATTATTCTGTTTAAATTCCTTGACTCTGAATTTTTCTTTTTTTCTTTTTTTTTAAACAGTTCCCAAAAGGAGAGAGTACTTCTAAGCACAAATATAGTATGACTAAAATCTGTACCTCTTCAAAGAATCTATGCCCCACAGATTACTTCAATAACATCCCTTACAGCTTGACACTAGTGCGCCCCACTTTCTCCTCACTTTCATATGAAGTCTTCAAGTTAGATTTACTTCTTAAAGGAAAATCATTTGTGGTTCATTGAAATGAGAACTACAACAGGAAGCTGCACAGATTCTCAAAGACCTTTACTGTATGTGAATGGAGTGGCTCAAAAAGCAGATGAACACACTAACAAAATGGGCTGCCACAGAGTACATGTCTATAAATTCGTCACAGACATCAAATGCATTCTATACTCTCTTATCATCATGCAATATTCCACAAAACGGCGTGATTTTTAAGTGTGTCTAGAAGATTCTCTCCTTCAACACTGCAGAAAGTCTGTGTGGTTTCCAGTTTTATTACCTCCGCATGCCCCATTTTGAATATACATTACCTTTGACAACTCCCACACTTCGGTGAGTAACTGATCCCCATTTGTATTTGGGTGTGGTAACAGAGCTTTTCACACGCACTTTGTCACCTATCTTGATATGAGAGGCAGAACTCTGCGGTGGGAATCCTAGCACATGCAAGAATAAATGCATGGTGAGTGGATTGCTCCCCCCAAAAAATAAATCTCCCTTAGTGTATCATTCAGTTCTTTATTAAAAAGCAGTTAGCAGTGAACTTACCTAAAAGCTCAACATGGATATATCTGACCCAGTAAGTACCACCCTTTTGTTGCCAATCACACTGTACGTTCAGGTCATGCAATCCATCTCGATCCAATTTAATAACTTTGCCTACATCTCCTTCACAAACCTCCTCATAGGTTCTGCAGCACCTAACCATCATCCCCACCTAGGGAAAAAGGACAATAGAATGCCATAGCTATGTAAAGACTTTTGTACCAGAAGGAAAGTAGTTTCAATATAGCTTTTCATCATCATGCTTACCTGAATATTCTCCCTCACATACACAGCATAGTCATCATTACTTAAGAAATCAGCTCGTTTCTTATAGGTCTGGCTCTCTGTTACAACAGCACCACTTGACTGGAAAAAAAATCCAAAATAAACATATAACAGTTACAAAATTTGTTTTCAATTCAGATAAATAAAATTGTTAGCAGAGACTGAAGATAACCCAAGAAAAACACAAACATATAATATCCAAGTTGCATGCCAAAATGGGTAAAATCTTCAACAGGTCAACTCACTAGAGGGCTAACATTTATGATCTACTTTAAGGTTTTTTTCAAAACGACTTGCCAAGGAACATAGCTGCAATTTTTCAAAATGCGTGAAACAAGCTGCAAGTTGCTGTTATGAAATCTGCTTACCAAACAAAATTACAAATTAGGATTTGTGAGTAATCTACTTAGCCTTGCAAATACACATTCACATTCCACTTCTTAGGCTGCTTGTTTGGAGAGGAAGAAAACAAAAACACAGTGGTGAATGGTAATCTCCTACCTAAAGTACATTACTAATTTTTTCGTTATAGAATACAATGGGATTTAAAGTATTCCCTTAGAAAAACAAGCTGACAAAAAAGATAAGATTGTAGTTATCAGAAATAATTCAAGATTTGATTAACTTAAAAAATTTTAAGAGAACTATTGCATTCCACCTGTAATGAGAATTTTCAGAAAACTTTGTTCTGTTTTTAGCATTAAATGTTTTTTCATTCGAGGCAATATATAGAGCAGTTTCTCACTGCAATACTGATAAAGATATCAGAACTCAATGTCAAGTTAATTTCCTTCAAAATATAATGCATTTCTTTCAATTACAAAATCCCACATGTGCCAGAAAACTCAACATAACTCCTTAAAAAATAAATAGAAATACAGAACTCATTTCATTTTATTGGCAAATCTTTACTGAAGCAGTTCCTGAAAGTCAACAGAAGCCTAACATAAACTCACATTAAAACCATCACACTCAATAGGCATTGTAAATGTCATTTTTTCACCAATAAGTGAACATAGTTTTTATAAGGAAAAAACTAAGTTATTTCAGTGACATCTTTTTGCCATTTATTCACTAATTCCTTGTGATTTAGTGATGTGATGATCATACAAGTCATTCCTTGTAGCTAACATACATTTGTTTTTCAGTCCAAAGGGAGGGAGGTGGGGGGAAAAAATTAAAAAAAAAAATTAAAAAAAAAAAAAAAAAAAA